CGAGGGTTGCGATCCCGTTGCCGGTCCCCGGTCCGGTACAGGGGCGACACTGAGGGTTGCGATCCGTTGCCGGACACGGAAAAAGACAAAAAAAAAAAAAAAAAGACATATTCCTTAGAAAAAGGTAGACTCTACCGAGGAAATCCAACTCTAGAAAATTAGTGAATTCAGATAAACTTTATGAGAATGATTACTTATTTCCCAGCAAAACAACTGCATCGGTAGCAAGTATGGAGAAGAGAAGATACAGTTCTCTAACTGAAGCAATGGCCTGACATACGATGATGACAAAAAGAGATTGAAAGTGTGATTCTTGCAGGCCTAGCTTATTTTTTGGCTAGGCAGCTTTCAGGAGAGGAGGTGCTGTGGGAACTGCTTTTGCTCTGTTGACCAAAATCCAGCATAATTTCCTATGCAGAGATTCCAATAAAGAAAGTCATGCCAGGCCTCCCCGGTTCTGTCTGGTCTTAGGAATCCTGAGGCCTGGCATGGTTCCCTGCTGGTAGCAGACATTAAGCCCCACTTTAGTACATCTTTGTATCCAGAGAAGGTGAAGTTGCAGCACCCTGAGTATCCCATCTGTTTATGCTTGATCTTTTTGGTTTTAGCTTGGATCTTATTAAAGCATTGATCCTTTTGGGAGGGGTAAAATTGAGCTGTGATTAGACATATAACCTGAGTATAAAGGAAATATATGAGAGCATATGTGATAGGGCAGAGGGTGTGGACAAGGAGCCACAGTTTAGCAGCATTCTTGGCTTTTCTCATTGTGGAGCTTTTCAGAGTAGCTGACAGTACTGTGGCTAACTTGATCACTTCTTTTCTCTTTGAACAGGGCCACCCTGGACCGCCAGGCCCCAGAGGTTCACCTGGCCTGGATGGCTGTAATGGAACTCAAGGAGCTGTTGGTTTTCCAGGCCCTGATGGCTATCCTGGGCTTCTCGGGCCACCCGTATGCTGCCAGATCTTTGCACTCTGTTTCAAATGACTTTGCTTGCCTTCAAGTGTGCCCTTTTTTCTGCCTCTCTGGAAACCTCATTAAGCTTCTGTGGGGCAGCCACTGCAGTCCCTTGTCTAATGTAGGAATCTATGCTGTTAGCACCAACAGTAAAAGTCTAAAGAAGAATACCAGTTGCAGGGGGGTGTACACAAGCTACACTACTTAAGGTTGCCTTTTTTTTTTTTTTAATGCTGCTTTTAGAGTTGACAAGATTGTGAAAAGCCTGTAGTAAATTTCAGAACAAAACACACACTTAGACTATTTGACATTTTCCCACATCAGATGATATTGGGAAGTGCTTGGAAAGTTTATATGGGATCATGGAAGCACTAACTATAACCAAAGGGCTTGTCAAGCTTGGTTGATACCAGTGGTTCTTAACCAGGGATGATTTTGCCCCTCAGGAGACACTTGGCAATTATTATTGATATTTTTAGGTGTAACAACTAGAGATGTGCTACTGTCACAGGACAGCCTGCCCCCACCCCCAACATTAAGGAATCATTTGGCCCAAAGTATCAATAGTGCTGAGATTGAGAAACCCTACTCTACAGTGACAGAGCTTGCCCCCCACACACACACAAACATCATAACCCTTGGTTATGGAATGGATAAGATACTTATTGGATACCAGGCTGGCCCCATGGCTCACTTGGGAGAGTGCGGCACTGGTAGCACCGAGGCCACGGGTTCGGATCCTGTATAGGGATGGCTGGTGCGCTCACTGGCTGAGCATGGTGCAGACAACACCGTGCCGACGGTTGCTATCCCCTTACTGGTCAAAAAAGAAAGATACTTATTGGATTCCTGTGTCACCACTTTTATTTAATTTCATTCATCCAGGCAGGACTCAGATATTTGGATCTAAAGGATCTCTAGTAGATACCATGTCCTTGAAAAGCCGATTTTACACGTGGCTGGAAAAAGAAAAATAACATATTTCAAGCCCATTCTGAACTTCACTTGAAACAATCTAAACTAATGAGGGTACTTATGTGAGATATTTAACTAGAAATCACACCATTCATTAGAAAGACTTCATAGCTACATGAATTAATTGGCACATCACTGGAAGAACAGCACCATTGCCTTCAGTGACCAGGTTGTGGGTGTGGGCATATATGTGAGAAAGTGAGACAGACAGACAAAGCACAAGCCCAGACTGGCATAAAGGACATTGACATCTAAGGACCAAACCAATATGCAGCAGGGTGGGGGGGCAGGGGTAGAGAAGGATGTATGCCTATCATGGCTGTGTGAGTCACAAAGGCCTTCAAACATTGCCATGGCAACAGGGGAGGAGAACAAAACACTTCTGTGTTGAGAATGGGAATCCAGCAAAGCAAGGAAATGCCGCCCCCAAGAGGGAGAAAAGAAATCTTGAGGTAATAAACATCCCCTGACAGACAAAAAATAATAATAATAATAAGAGACCTCACCTTAAGCCTAAATAGGAACTTGGGCCTATATTTTACTAAACCAAACCTTACTCCCTGCTGAATACCAACCGGATGTCCATTCAATTGGCTTCTTTGAGGCTTCTTTGAAGGGAGTAATGGCCATGAGAATAAGGGGAAACAGGAGTGTTAATAAAAGGACACTGGTTTATGCGTCTGGGACCACATTGTCCTTTATTATACCAGTGATCCCTGCGCTCAAAGAATCTATCATTCAATCAACGCTTCGGTCCCCAAAGCTTAGGCCTACCCCCAATACTAATCCTGACTTCCTCTTAGGTGTAGAGACATTGATTTTCCCCAGTAGGACAAACTCTAGCAGATATTAGCCAGCATCTGCCACTGAGACAGCAGAAAATCTGGTTGAAAGACTGGGGCTGGGTACTTTGAGCTGTTTTCCATGTTAACAGTGAGATAAACCAGCCTCTTAGACAGGTATTGAAGCTGAAGTTGTGTGGTAGAAGCACAAGATGAGGGTGGTTTTGCAGAAAACTTTTAGACCGGGGGCTTACAAACAGGTCCACGTGGCCTTTGCCCTGTAGCCTGTTTTTACATATTTAAAGATTTAATAAAGAAGAAGAATATGGGACGGAGCCCAGATGTGACCCAACCCACAAAGCCTAAATTATTTAATATGTGGTTCTTTACAGAAAAATTTTGCTGACCTGTGTCCTAGACAAAGGCTCTGTCAGTTACTTATACCTGTGAGGGGTAGAGTAGTGAACGCTAGGCTTATGAATTGTATGTGGTTGTTCAGACCAGTAGTCTGAATAGATGTAAAGTCTTCTACTTTCTAACCCCATCCCTTTACAGACCTCTGACTTGGGAGAACGGGTATACAGCTTTGGGGCACAGAACTGCACAGGGGATCTGCTTTGCCCCTTAGCACAGCCAATTCGGCCATAGAATAAGCCACATAATTTCAGGCTCTGCTGTTCTATCCTGTATCTGATCAAATCACGCTATTAACAAAACTATGTGTGTGTGCATTTCTTCACAAGTTTTTCTTATTATTTTACTCAGGGGCTTCCTGGTCAGAAAGGTTCTAAAGGTGAATCTGTCTTTGCTCCAGGTAGTTTCAAAGGAATGAAGGTAAGAGCCTCTAAGGCAGACAGCTCAGTAAGCTGTAAGCCAGGATTGGGCCCCACCTCCAATAAAAGCATTTCCAGAACTAGCATCTGTGTCTCTATTTAAGGGGCAGACCAAGCTGGATTTAAAAGGATCCAGAGCTTTTTGTGGTGGAAACATTGACAGAAATGTTTGCAACTATACTGTCAAAGAGATTTGCTTTGTAGGAGCTACACCAAAAATAAGAGACAGATCAGCAAACAGTTTCCATGGGTATCATTTTCTTTGACAAGCCAAGACATTTCCTGAAGGAAGATACCTTTTGTCTACTTTAGGATCCTTGATGTCTGTATACCTTGGTTTGAAGTCATGTATGTCTCTGCCCATCTCAGCATGGCCACCAGCCCAAAATCCTGGCCCCACCCTTCTCTGTCTCTGCACACCAACCCATTACCCTAGCTGGGCCCCAGGATATCTGCAGAAATTGCCCATCGGCTCTGCAGCTGGCTGGAAACTTTCATCTCTTCCCAGAATTGACAAGAATCTTCTATATTCTTGTGACTGTACACTTGGTGTATACTGCCTGATATCCTGTGGGGCCTCGGTAAACCCTGGATCTGAATGATTGACCCTATTCCCTTGCAGAGTGGGAAAGGAGCCGGTCATTGCCCTGGTCGCAAATGGGAATCTGCGTTTCCAGCATCCAAGGGGAACATGCACCAAGCTCACTTGGCTAATTGATGGCACTTTTCTGTCTTCCATTGATTCACAGAGCCAGGGACATAGGGAATTGCTTTGAAAGACAGTGATGGGAATGCGTAGCTGGAGAATTGGAGAAGACCCAGGGTTTGGGCCCTTGACTATAAGTGCCATAGCAGAAAATAGAATGTTTGAGTTGGGAAAGACCTCATGATGGTCAGATTCATACTGCTCATTTTACAGAGAGAAAAACTGAGGTATACTGAAGCTATGTGACTTGCACAGAGTCACAGAACCAGTTCACCAAAGAGCTAAAAACGCAAGCTATACTCTTTCCATGATACAGAAAACTGATTTTTGAACATAAGCCAAGTAGAGTAAGACTAGCAGGTGTCAAAATATGGCTATTGTCTTAGCAAACATTGATTAAATGGTTTTGCCAAGAATCAAAGAGGCCCCAGATCCAGTGGAACACAGCAATTTCCACAAGATGGTTATATTACACATTCATGCAGTGATTTAAGATGCTGCAAAGTAATTAAAATGTAATCAGAGACTGTATGCTCTGCTGATTTTCCCTTGAAATGTCTGATTTGCATTGTATACATATGGGCACAGATTCTCTGGGGATGAAGGCACACAGGAAAGTAGCTTTGCTTTCCTCCAAAAAGAGCAGGAAAATCACCAGCCCGCAGAAGCAGTTTCTAATTGATAAGTTCCTAGCAAAGGTGAAAATTAATTAATCCAAGCAAAATATGAAATCCTGTTCAGCCAAGGCTGTAATATTTGTCTTCTGGAGACCAGATTTTTTCTTAGGGAAAAAAAGTAAATGGCTGAACATGTCCAATTCATGCATTATTTAAAACACGAGAACTTGACAGAGGGGGCCCAAGCTTCATGATGTGTTTTTGTCCCCATGAATCTTCAGTTAGTTGTCTGATATACCATAGGCTTAATTTATTAATCTCTTCAGTGTCCTGCTTTTGTTTGTTTCTCAGGGGGATCCTGGCCTGCCCGGACTGGATGGAATCACTGTAAGTTTTTACTTATGTGTTGAGCTCTCAGTGTTTAGTCAACAGATGCCGATGATGCCTTTTCATCCTTCTCTATGGTGTTTAAAGGTCGTTATAGACCTTCGCAGAGAGAATCTAGAGAGCTGAGGTAGAGTAAATCACGTTATTGACATGTTCCAGATGAGAAGGTACTGAGAGCATGAACTGTCTACCTCAACTTGCACAAGAGGCAGATTTTCACGCTTTAGGCCAGGGACCTACGAATTCCCTGGGATGTATTAGGAAAGTATTTTGCTTTTCATCAGCAAGCATTTATTAAGTGTCTTCTGTGTGTTCAGTGCTGTGGGTAAAGCAAAAGTACAACACACTTCTTTAAAAGGTGTTCCATGCAGAAATTCCTTTTAGGGACTCTTTTGATAATAGTGAGTCCATAAAAGGCTGTGAGTTGTATTAATAAGAGCTTTTTTTTTCTTTGAGATTCCACGTTGTCATCACTTTCTTTTGAAGTAGCTAAAAAAAGCTCTTTCTTTCTTCTTTCCTTCCTCCCTTTCTTCCTTCCTTCTTCCCTTCCTTTCTTTTTTCAGCCCTCAACAGATATTGAACACTTACTAGCAGCAAAGTGCCGAGTGATCCCTGAGGCAATGTAGACAGAGTCCCTGCCCCCAAGGATGTGAAAAGCTAGTAGGAATGTAGCATGAGTATTCCCCAGCAGCTTAAAGGGAAAGATACTGTTCACCTAAGGATACATCATGGGAGACTTTATATCTAAGAGAGTGAAGGTAGCTTCTGAGAAGTGTGGGTGGTGTTTACACTAGCTGGCAGTGGGAGGGGGCTTTCTAAATAGAGTAATGAAAAAAAAGGTAGGCAAGAAACAGGATGTGTGCAAGCACACAGGAAAACAAGGATGAGTATGGACCAGTGCCATACAGGTCCCCTACAGCTAAACAGAATTGGCTTAGATGGTGTGCTCATTATATCTGGAGAATAGCATCCACTGTATATGCTGCATAGCTTCTCTTAGGGATTCATTTCCCTGCCCACAAAGTTACAGTGTTTGTCCACATACACAGGCACGACACATAAATCACTTCAATTTGGGGAGAGCATGTTTGGTGGCCAAATAAGAGATTTGTGATCAGTAAGGAGACCACAGGTTAATTATTTTCAAAGCAATATTCATACTATCATTCACTTCTGGGTAACCTTTGAACCCCTCCTTTGTCTTCCTCCTGTCTAAGTCCCTACCTCTCTTATCCTCTCCATCCCCTACCCAGGCACATAGCACCTTATTCCTGCTGCCCCGTTGCAACTGGGCCAGACATTTCTGCATACTATCTTTCTCTTGAGATTTCACTGTCTTGCTTTTTAGTATTGTTGTTATTCAGTTCAAAAGTTTTTCTAATTTCCCTTCTGATTTTTTTTTCCTTGACCCACAGAATATGTAGAAGTGTGTTGTTTCATTTCCAAATATTAGGCAACTTTCCAGATATCTTTTTATTATTGATTTCTACTTTGATTTCACGGCAATTTGAGTGCACACTCTGTGTGATTTCAATCCTTTTAAATGTGTGGAGGTTAGTTTTATAGGCCAGCATATGGTCTATCTTGGTGAATGTTCCATATGCACGTGAAGAAAATATGTATTCATCTGTTGTTGGGTATAATCACCTAAAAAAAATCCATTATGTCAAGGTAGTTGATAATGTTGTTTGGATCTTCTGTGTCTGGGCTGATTTTTTGGTCTAGTTCTATTTTACTGAGGGAGGGTTGTTAAAATCGCCAACTATAATTGCAGATATGTCTATTTCTCCTTGCAGTTATGTCAGTTTTCACTCCACATATTTTGAAGCTCTGCTATTAGGTACATAGACATCTAAGATTGTTATGTCTTCTTGATGAATTGACTTATTTTATCATTATGAAATACCCCCTCTTTGTCTCTGGTAATATTCTTTGTCTCGAAGTCTACTTTATCTGATATTAATGTAACTGTTTTGTTTTCTAAGTTTTTCTTTTTTATTTTTACATAAAATGCAGTTTTATTTTGGTTTAAAGCATTTATCAAAATGTTTTCCAGCTTACTTCCAAAATTTTTATTTTCTAGTTTTTATCGGTTTTTTTTTAAATTTTATTTTGTCAAAATATCCTTTTCTACAACACTTTAATAGGAAAAATTTTAGAAATAGAGCAAAGTTGAATGAATGTTGCAGTGAACACCCATACAGTTAATATTTTAGCATACTTGCTTTATCCCACTTCTGTCCATTTATCCATCCCTCCATGTGTCCAACAATCCATCCTATTTTTGATGCATTTCTAAGTAAATTGCAGAACAGTACACATACTCCTAAATACTAAAACCTGACTATCATTAGAGTTCAATATTTGTTTCCAGTTTTTCTTTTTATATAAAATTTACATGCGATGAAATACACACATCTTAAATGTACATTTGCTGAATTTTGACAAATGCATAGTCCTGTATAACCCAAACCTCTACAAGTATTAAGGTATAGAACATTACTATCACCTCAGAAAATTCTCTACTGCCCCTTCCCAGTCAATCCCTGCCCTCAGCCCACTCCACAGGCAGCCATCGTTCTGATTTTTCTCCATTATAGATCCGTTTTTACCTGTTCTAGAACCTTGTATAAAAGGAATGATATAACATGGAACCTTTTGGGTCTGGCTTCTTTCACTTAGCACAATGCTTCTGAGATTCATTCACATTGTTTCATATATCAGTAATTGGCTACTTTTTATTGTGGAGCATTTATTTCACTGTATGAATGTATCACAGTTTATTTATCCATCCTTGTGTCAGTGGACACCTGGGATGTTTCCAGTTTTTGACTATTATGAATAAAGTTGCTATCAACATTCTTGTTCTTGTGGACATGTATATTTTCATTTTTCTTGGGAAACTGTCTTGCTTTTTGACCTCCATAAAAACTTGCCTCTCTAGGGCCCACAAGGAGCACCCGGATCTCCTGGAGCTGTAGGACCCATAGGACCACCAGGATTGCAAGTAAGACTAACTTAAGCCTAATATATGATCATAATATTCACATGACTATTTTCCCTACCATGCCATGGGTTAAATGTGAGCCAGTGTAATTTAGGTCCTCCTAGTGGAGAAAGGCAACCTGCATTCTTGGAGGATTAAAGTGAAGCATGCTTTTGCTAGGAGCTATTAGCTGTCTTTTTTATCAGAGCCTTTCTGACCGCCCAGTCTATGCCTCTAAAGCCTCCTCGTCTAGCTCACCTTAAAGCATTGCCCAAGGATGGCAGACCCTGACACATCTATTGCCACCTTCCACTCCCTCACCCATGACAGATGTTGCTAATTAATCATACCACCGCCACCATCATCCATCCTGAACACCAAGGAAGTTTCAAAATCCTTCTGAACACTGCTCCTTGGACAGTTCTACCTACCTGTCTTTCTGATACTAAATATTTGCCATCACTGGTATAGAAAGAGCATAGCCAGACATCCGTGTGCTTCTGGGAAGGCCCTGTCCCGAGATTGTGCTCTCCAGTGCGTGAAACCTTACCTCTGGTTATTTTGGCTTAGCTTCACCAAAGATCACTATCTAAAACTTTTTGGCCTGTTGGGAGGAATGACACGTGAAGTCTTTACTACCTTAGCATGAATGTGGTTACCAGGTCAATTTGGGAAATTTCAAAGGAGATAAAAAGAAACCATGGGAGAGGAAGCTAGAATCTGCTATATTAAAGCCAGGCTACACTAAGTGGGGAGGGGGGCTTATCCCCAGTGACTCTCAACATTACCATGTTCTTTTTGACTGAAATGAACAAGTGCTAACTCTTTTCTTTATTTTTTTAATCCAGGGTCCTCCAGGCCCCCCTGGTTTCCCTGGTCCTGATGTAAGTATACTTTGTCTTGGGTCATTTTGCCTCCTACTCCTAAGTACTCTGGTTTCCCCAGAGAGATACTGGTTTGGTTAAACCTACTTTCTAGTGAAAAAAACTGCATTCCAATTTAAGTTCCTGGAGCTCGTTTAGTAATTGATTTTTTTTTCTCCCTGCACCCCTGTGCCCCAGGGGAATATGGGGTTAGGTTTCCAAGGAGAAAAAGGAGTCAAGGTAAACAGAGTTTGGAAAATATAATCTGTATTCCTTATGCTCTGAGAAATATCTCTACTTACACACATGTGCCTGCTTGTGTAAGGGGATTTGGTTCTTTGTTTCCCAACCCACATAGATCCTCTGGTGGGATCCCTTAAGGGCTGCATGTGCACATACCACGCAGAAACTGTTGCAGTTCTTTTTCCTTCAAAATATTAGCCTCTCCCTGCTTCCTACCTGTGAAGTGTGTATGTATTACAAATATACTTTCTTGAAATATATTCCTTCTGTTCCTTCCACCTGGGTATTTCCCTGGTGTTTTGTATATTCTGTCACCTTCTCTTTTCTCTGCTTCCCCCTTCCCTTCGTCCTTCCTCCTCCCCCCTTCCTCTTCTGTTTCTCTCTCTCTCTCTCTCTCTCTCTCTCTCTCCTCTATCTTTATTCCTTAACCTCTCTTTCACCATTCTCTTTTATTTCTCTTCTTCCCTCATTTCCTTTGTATAAATTGTATGGTGATTTGGGAGCTTCAAACGGGGCTGGGAGCTTCCCCTCCCCATGCCTCGTGGCTGTCTCTTGTGAATTGCACTACTTTCTGAAGGAGCAACTCCAGCTTCCAATGTCCCAACACAGACTTCACTGCCTCTGCTTGTACTCTTGGCAAGAATTGGACCAATTAGAGTCTGGTCATTGTTGGCAAGAAGTAGTCCTTCACCTTGATCAAACCCCTTTTTGGCTCTCTTCTGAGCACCCTCTCATGCATGACCATCACACCATGAACCTTTCATCCATCTTGCTTCCCTCTGTAGTGCTGGCACAAAATGCACTTGGTCAGGCTTATAATTCTTCTCATCCCTTGGCAATGAGCGTTTTGTTTCCTCACTGCTGCAAGGGTGAAGAAGCCAGAGTAATGGACAGTTTGTTTGTGAATTGCATCCAGAGGACAAACCCACGCTCTGGAAAATGGTCTGTGTGGTTTACACATTGCTTGATGTTCCCTTTGATCTTACAGGGGGATGTTGGACCCCCTGGCCCTCCAGGACCTCCACCATCTACTGGGGAACTCGAATTCATGGGATTTCCCAAAGGAAAGAAAGGATCCAAGGTAGTGAACATTTAAGAACAGGAAAAATTAATAAACATTTCCTATTAAAACCAAAATTCAATTGTAATAACCAGACTATACTGGAAGAATAGAAGGTTCTGAGCAATGGATTTTTGTTTGGAAGTGAGGATGAAAGCCTTCTTTGTTTTGTCCCTTGTGAAAGTTTCTAAAAAGACTGAATCTGTTATGTGATGTGTAGGTATGAGTGTGCCTGGATTTCTGAGTATTTGCTTAAGTGTTATTTTCTCTGTTTCAGTTTTGCAGATTCAATTTTTAATATGCTGAATAACTTAAAACAAACATTAAACAGTTGGGGTTTTTTCCTCCTAACTCCTAACCCTCTCAATACTTATGTTTTCCCCAAATCACTGTGACAGAACACATAGGGTATAAATGGTTGCTTTTGAGTTATCTTTTTGAGGAAGTTATTTGCCCTCAAAACTTGACCCTGAAAATAGAAAATACTGTTACTAAGTGGAAATAGATGCCCTAATTCACCTGACCTGAACTGCCAAGGCTTAAGCTGTAGACCCATTTAACTGAGATATCTATGTACATGGTTGTGTTTGAATGGCTGTATGTTGTTAAGGTGTGCAGGTATCTTTCAGCAACCTATATTCCCTTCCTTCGTGGGATTCCTTTAAATTTTGTGATTCTGTTTCCATGGCCAAGAGGCCCAGGCAGGGGAATGTGTTTAGCCCCATTTCTTTAATTTTATCTTTGTGGAAGCAATAGCTCCAGACCCCTCCAGGTTTATAGAAAGTAACCATTAATTTGGGAACAGTCTGGGAACATATGAGAAATTGCTTCCCTGATCATTCTAAACCTTCAGGAGCCCTTTCATGGCACATAAAAGATAAATTACCATATCAGGGAAAGAAAAATTAGAATGTTATGTGTCCCTATCCAAATTGTAATTGTTACCCTTTCCCAAAACCACTGATTTCCTTACATCCTGTAATTTGTTCTTCCACTACAAAGAGAATAGATAACCAGGCTTTCTGTCTCCCAGTTAGCCTGAGCATTTGAGATTCATAGGCCTTGGTCCTTCCCACACCTCAAAGAGCTCCCTAAATTAAGTCATTCTGGTACGGCCACTAGTCAGGGAACCTGGAGAATCTGTACTACTCTTTGGTGCCTCAATCTTGACACCCATTGATTCCCCACTCCTCAGTCCAGGTACTTTGAGGGAGCCATCCTCCTTTATGTTCACTGCTTCCTGCTGCTACTCACTAAGCTTTGGTTGATTTTTCCAGGGTGAACCAGGGCCTAAGGGTTTTCCAGGCATCAGTATCCCTTCAGGCTTCCCGGTAAGTCTCCCTATTTCGTCAGCATGTACTCTAGGGTCTGATTGGGCAAAAGCTGTAGCAATAGAAGGATAACAGGAAGACCTCTCCCCATGGTTATTGCAGAGAATGCCACCATTTTCATTATTGGAAGGCATTTAATTCTTGTTTCTCGAACTCATGGGGACATTACCATGATTCTCCATGAGGCTGTGTATCTTAGAGGCTAGTAGTTCAAGCTCTAGGCTTGACTTCTGGTTTCACCAGTTTCTTTCTTTTTTTTTTTTTTTCCTTTTTTCGTGTCCGGCAACAGATCGCAACCCTCAGTGTCGCGCCCGTACCGGACCGGGACCGGCAACGGGATTGCAGCCCTCGGTGTTGCGCCCGCACCTCCGGCCCCTGGTTTCACCAGTTTCTAACTATGGGAACTTGGACAAGTTTTTTTTAACTTTTCTGAGTCTTAGTTTTCTAACCTTCAAAAAAAGGGATAATGATGGGGGTGGTTATGAGGAGTAAATGAGATAATATGCAAGGAAAAGGCTTAGTATATATATGCCTGGCACTTATCAATTTTTCAGTAAATGATAGATAATCTTAGTAATCCTATCTTCTCTTTCTTATCTGCCTTTCTAGCTTCGATTCTTTCATTTAACATATAAATACCTTTTGAGGGCTCCTATGTGCCAGGCATTCTGCTCAACTTGGAGGCTACAACAGTAATTAAGTATAAAAGTCCCTGTCCTTGAGATTACATTTTAGTGGGGGGAGTGATGGATGAGGTAGACAATAAACAAGTAAACAGATGAATGAATAAGAAGTTTATATAGTGGTGATAGTAGAAGATAAAAAAAGGTTAAAGTGATGGCGTGTGAATGGGGGCTACTTGGGACAGAGTGGTCAAGAAGGGCCTCTCTAAGGGAGGTGTGAACTGAGCCCTGCATATTACAAGGGAGAAAGTCACATGAAGATCAGAAGGAGTGCTGAGACCTTGAGGTTGGAAAAACGTCAGCACATTTGAGGAACAGGAAGAAGGTGATTGGGTGGAACCAAGTGAGCAAGCTCAAGAAACAAGCAGAGAAGTTAGAGCCAGATCATGGCCACCTTCGTAGGTCAAATGTGGCTTTTATTTTAAGTGTAATGGGAAGCCATTCTGACTTGCATTTTTAAGATCATTCTGGCTGGGGGTGGGGTGGGGGAGCAAACACAAAGGCTATTGCAGCAGTCCGGGTGAGAGATGGTGGTGGCAGCTTGGACTACGGTGATAGCAGTGGAAATGGAGAGAAGTGGATTAATTCAAAATGTAAAAATATTAAACTTTGTATTATGGAACATTTCAAACATATACAAAGCAGAGAAAGGCATAATGATCCTCCTGTGTCCCATCAGCCAGCTTCAACAATTAGCAACTCATGGCCCATCTGAAGCAAATAAAATATATCATTTCATCATAATATCTCAGTATTTCTTTTTTATTTTTTCCTTTTTTTTTTGTCTTTTTTCGTGACCGGCAACGGATCGCAACCCTCAGTGTCGCGCCCGTACCGGGCCGGGACCAGCCACGGGATCGCAACCCTCGGTGTTGCTCCTGCCCCTCGCTCAGCCAGTGAGTGGCCGGTCTGTATGTGGGATCCGAACCCTCAGCGGGAGCGCCACCGTGCTTCCCAATCGGCGCACTATAGCAGTGCGCCACCGGGCCGGCCCAATATCTCAGTATTTCTAAAAGAACCTTTAAAAACATAGTGACAATATCATCAGCAGCAATTAATTATCAGTAATTACTTAATATCAGTTAACAAGGAAGAATCTAAGTTTATGGTTGTCCCACAAATACATATATATATATATTTTACAGTTACCTTGTTTGAGTGAGAACCCAAACTACACCAATACATTATATTCGGTTGATTTGTCTCTTAAATTGCAAGATGTATTTTGAAGCAGTAGCTGACAAGATATTCATGGACTGGGGGTAGGGATCACGAGGGAAATGGATGAGTCAAAGATGACTAGGCCTGCCCCTGCTTGCTGGCACAGTGGGGACGGATGACTACCGTCCTTCTCTACAGTACTTTGAGATACTTTGGATCTCTCTAAGTGGCCCGAGAGCAGAGCCAGAAGCACAGAGACAGTAACACAAGAGCCAGTAGTAACACAACAGCAGTAGGTTGCTCCCATGATGATTCCTGTTACTCCATAGGAACAAAGGGGCCTAATCATCTGTTCAACGTTCTTGACTTTAATCAGTTCTGTATCTAATGAATCAGAAAGGAAGAAAACCCTGGTGTTGGTGACAGAACACCCAGACTTTAGATCCAGCTCCAGTTCTAGGAGTAGGACAAGTGGCTGAACCTCTCTGTATATCCATAATATGGCAATAGTTATACCTACTCTTTTGAGGCCCAACTAACAATGTCTGTGAAGTTTCTTTACAAAGTATAAAGCTCTGTTGTCCAATAAGATAACCACTAGCCATGTGTGGCTGTTGAGCCTTTGAAATGTGACTGGTCTAAAATGAGATGTACTGTAAGTGGATATACACTGGATTTCAGAAACTTAGTATATTAAAAAAATCTAAAATAGCTCAGTAACAATTTTTACTTCAATGTTAAAATGATATTTATATTTGGTTAAATAAAATAGGTCATTAAAATTAATCTTATCTGTTTGTTTTACTTTTTTAATGTGGCTACTAAAAAATTGAAAATAACATAGTAGCTGACATTATATTTCTATTGGATAGCACAGGTATAAATTACTTTGCAAGGGGGTTTGGGAATAAGGTTTGCACCCTTCTTCATAGAGCACTTCACGTAGATGCTATTCCCCGGCCTCATCCCTGTGAGGTAAGCAAGTTGAGCCAGGCTTATCCCTCTCGTACTGACGAGGAAACCAGAGCATGAACGGATGAAGAGGCTTGTCCAGAGTTACACAGCTAGTTATTAGCACAGCTGAGATTGAAATTCAGCTTTCTTGAATTCCAGCTAAATCAGGGCTTTTCCCCCATACCATACTGCCCCCTACAGTCCGGTTTGTTCTAGTCACAGTGATGGCAGTGTTTTCATCTCTAAATCGCTTAAGAACAGATTTTATGATCTCTGGTGTTATTGGGTTCACTGGCTCACGCTCCCTCCCTCCCCTTCCCTTCCACGTTTGACCTCAGAGGATTTCCCCTGGGGCAATTTCAACTCGCTCCCCTTTAGCCTGTAAAAGAAAAAGAGACTAACTGACAACAATGCACGGTGATAAATTGCAGTATCATGTTCAGTATTTCCAGTGTTTCAGCGTGAGCTGAAACATGGAAACCCCAGTTGTAAGGATATCAAAGCTGGAAAATACCTCCCTTTACACAGAACAGCATATTTTCATAGGGTAGGAATCAAGAAACCAGAGTTCTCAGCCCATTTTGGCACAGATTCAGTGGGTGACCCTGGCCAAATCATGTAACTCCTTCTGTCCTAATATCTCTGTTTAATGGGAATATTCATAGATACCTTGTATGCCGCCTAACAGAAAACTTGTGCAGAGAAAGATGGTAACATATTTGAGATACTCTGGGCTTCTCAGAGGAAACACACTACTCAGATCTAAAGCCTTCACATCGGCTTTCAATTATCCATGCTCGCTGAAAAACAAGGCAGCGCTGAGGACGGAAATCTCTCGGGAATCCAAAATGTTCCCTTTAACCATTTGTTTCCTTCCCATCTGAGCCCAAATCTTTGCAAAAGACAAAGTGCCCAACGTGACAGATATGTGCCTCACTTTCTTTCTCTTGCCCCCTCTGCACTGACCAGACATCCCTGATTTTCTGGCTCAGTCTCAGCCTCACTCACTTTATCCCACTGTCCCCAGCAGCATACTCACACTTGTAGGTTACAGGTCCTCCCGTGGAGGTTGTCAGAGGGAATCATATACCCATGCACCCTCTAACCAAGGGACCCGCAAACACAGGGGAAGGCAAAATGGGAGAGATGAGGGGAGGGAGAGGAGTGGAAACTGGCAAATCCTGAGGGATCTAGTGAGTGGATCTGAGCTAACTGCTGGGTAGGTGGGGTTCTCCTTCAATTGAGCCTCCTCAGAACCAAAAAGCACCAGGAGGAAACAGCTAAGCTAGTGTGCTAATGAGGCATTCTGGGCCATGGGTGAGTAGGGACGTGGGAGAAGTGGTTGCACACCCTCGCGAGGGCTGATGGGACGGGTCCCAGGACATCTTGCTAGAACAGCTTGTTCAGCAGGATCCCTGTACAGTGCCTCCCTGCACTGGGAGACAGGCTGAGCCTACAGCATAGTGTCTTGCCAAGCCTTTTATCTCTTATTGGCTCTAACCCACACACACACAAAAAAATCCTTCTTTTAGTTTTTCCTTTTTACATTTTTTCATGTATTTATTTTTGTTTAAAGTATAGCACAAGCTCCCAGACCCCCTCTCTGAGAAAGCAAGAATCCAGAAGCTCTTTTTGCTTTTGAAGAAGGAGTACAAGGCCCTCTTGTATTTATAACTGTGGGCAAAATAGGTGGAGGGCATGAGACAGTTTCTGGACATTCTTTCCTTCACCTTTTGCAAGTTTTTTCTCTGGGTCATTATTCCATTCAATTCAACAAGTATTTGCTGGGCCACTTTGTATGTGTTCAGGCTGCAGTAATATGCCTGGAAGGGATACAGAAGAGAGACTGATATAGGACTTCTGCTTACAAAACTTTCATGTACAACCAGTCTTGGCACTTTAAGGTTTCAGGGCAGTGTGGACTATGCAGAGCTTTCACAGGACAGGTCAGGGAAAGCTGCTTGAAGTGTTCGATGGCAGAGGCCAATAGACACCTTCCACCAGGTGGCAGTATGCCTTGGTTTCCTATTTGAGATGCAGGAAAACTAAGATTTCAAATAAGTTTGCATTCGGTTTGACCCACGGGCCCTTCAAATTAGAAATTCTATTCATCATGAGGGCTGGCTATTTGACACATAGCTATAGATGTCGAAAAGAGAAAAGGCAAGGGGGAACCAAAGCCTGCTTTCAATTGGACCCTTCACAGAACCCCCCCCTCCCCGCCCCCTATAAACAGACAATAGAACAACTCATTTTAAAAAAATAAAAACAAAACCTTTGGGCCTAGAAAACCAAGGGAGAGCTTTCAGTACCCATGGGAATGCATTGAGTATGTAAGAGGAAGAAAGAGCTACAAGTGGGATTGGAGCAGTGCCCTCATACCAGCTGAGCCAGGTCACATCAAGGGAACAACGGGAGATCTGCCACAACATTTAGCATTCTTCTCAAGCTTAATTTGAGAAAGCTTCACTGCCTCCTTCACTCTCACAATAGACCTAAATGTTGTCTGTCAAAATCTATACCCCAAAAAGTACAATTTTAAACAACAACAAAATGGCCTCAGTTCAGTTTTCCACGAAAGACATTACCCACTTCGGTAGTGAACTCTTCTGTATCTTCAGGCCTGGGCCCAAAGGGGAGGAAGCTCTCTCTCACTCACTCTGCTTCTTGGATCCCTGCTTGTCCCTAGAGAATCCCCATGTCATACCCATGGCTGCAAGTCCTCACCTCCTATGAGCAGAACAAGACGGATTGGAGACCATCTCAGTTCCCATTGGAGTGCTCCTAGGGCCAGGCAAGAGCCCTACAGTCCCAGTATAGGAGTTGCAGGGTTCCAGACCATGCCTATCCATGCCTACACAGAAATACTCTTTCCCACTGAGAAGGATGACACAGTCATCATGTCTCTGAAGGGGAAAAACTCTTCCTTCTAGTACAGAGCTGGTTTGAAATTACCTCCTTGCTTTGGATGGAGCCAGGAGACCTATGAGAAAGTAAATGTTATAACATGTGCTTTCTTTCTTGCTTTAGGACTTTGAAACTATTGGAGAAAAGGGAGAAAAAGGAATCCCCGGTTTGCCAGGACCTAGGGTATGAACCTGGAATGTTGCTTGCCTGGATCTGTCAAGTCACTTGGTCCATTTTCTTTCCTTTTTGCTTCTTTATGTAATGTAACTTAATAGCCACCTAAGCTTCTCTTGTTTCTCTTCCTCAACCCTCTGGCAGGTTCCTAAACCTCCTCCTCTCCACTCAGCCCCATTCCCTTGACTGAGTGGCTCCCTTGAATAAGGAATGATGTACCCTTACTCTAGGTGGCTCCTCAGCCTATTTACTCTCCTTGCCCTCATGCATAATTATCTTCTGGGCTAAAGAATGATGTGAGAGTTGTCTTGCTTTCATTCCATTCTATTCCGTGGGAATGTGGGCAGGGGAGTGGCTCAGGAATGGAAGAAAAGGGCCAAGTGCAATCATCACAGAACAGAAACAAGCCTGGGAAGTTCTAGAATATAGTAAGTGATGTTTGGAGTCAACAGTTTCCAGTAATAGTCTTACTTCAAATGGAGAGATAACTATTAGGCTCTCTAATTCCTAGCTTCAAGCACTTAGGTCTTGAGCTATAAGCAGTTGGCCAACCTTAGCCTTAAAGAAGTAACATTTTAGAGAATTGTGTTTTTAGTTTGGCCATGAAATTTAAGAGTCTTTTAACTATTTAGCAATATTCATCCCTTACCCTGCCATTTCTTTTCTCTACTTTTCCTTCTCCCTTGTCTTGAAAATGCATAATCACCTACAAAGAAAGCATTTGGGGTGAAAGACAAGAGGCCCTCCCATACTCTATTTAAAAATCCCCTGGCTTGGAACTAATGCAGACTAAGTATAATACCACCCAGCCCTTCTACCAAATTCCACTGACTACTTAAAATGTTTCCATTTGTTTAGTTCTTAAAGAATGCTCCATGTGGCTATTCAGCCTGATGGATTAGTGCTTAGAAAGAAGTCATTAAGCCGGGCCTAGGGAACATTCTCTTACCTGATTTTAGGAGCTGCTAAATCCTGAACTCAGTAGGATAGCTTTGTTATGTTAAGTCTAGCAGCTTTTTCTAGTGTGGGCTATTATTAATCTTTCTAAGGTGTGGCTATTCTCTTTGCAGGGTCCCATGGGTTCAGAGGGAGTAGAAGGCCCTCCAGGGAAACAGGTATTTTGGTTAATATCATTAAAGCCTTGGTATATAAAATCCTAATTAAAAGACCCCCTTGCTTAACTCAGCATGGCCAAAGGGAGACATTTCTTATAAGGCAAACAGTCCACTTCCCTTTTACTGGTATAATCTTAGCTTCTTTTGTTTTCACTCAAGAAAATGGGTATCAATTGTCAAGTTTGGTTCCTTGCCATGCCATGATGTGGTCATACATCTTTGGCACATTATCAGGGTCTAGCAAGGCCAGCCTCCTTGTATCCATCTCTGGCCTTGTGGCCCTCGTATTTCTTAATGTGGAAGTTAGCTGCCTAGTGCCATACTGCCTTCTGAAAGACTTCACAGCTTCCAGAATCAGTTAAAAGCTGTACATACCCTGGAACGCTAGCCAAGATCCCTGTGCCATTTGCCCTGGCCTAATTCAAAGACCAGCCCCTCTCATGCTCTTATGTTTTAAATTCAGTAGTAACTATGTTTCTGTCACAGGGCAAAAAGGGCTCCCCAGGGTTCCCCGGGCTTAATGGACTTCCAGGAATTAAGGTAATATTGTTGGGAAGTAAAAATCCAGGGTTTGGGAGGTGGAAGGGTCTTCACCTCCCAAAATGCCAACATACAAGATGAAGTGTTTTAAATATTTTGATGTTTTAGATGTCAGTATTCTCAAGAAATGTGCACAACCTACTTTGAACACACAAAACTGATGAGCATTCCTTAGATACTACTTGATCAGTGGTAAACTAAGGGGTGGGGGCTGGTGGGAGCGAGTCTGTCCCTAAGAGGAGGAATATTTTATTACTGACATTGTGTAGAATTGCTACCTTTTAGATTTTCTTACTGTTTTTAAATCCTCTACAGACAATGAATCCCCTTATTGGATTCCAGGTGCAGGCAACTCCCACCACCCCACCCTGGATATGCCACTGTATCTGCTTCTGGTACCTGAGTACCTCTTTGGGGAGAATTAGGACTCTTTTGAATTCCTCTGCCTGTCCTCATCAACTAATAGAGTGTAACAGTAGCAGAGTCCCAGGCCTGCTGAGGGTAGAAAAAAAGTTGAAACTCTGCTCCTTCTTTAGCAGCTCTTGGGTCCAACCATGTTGTCTATGCCTGTGATATATTTCTCAGACCCACAAACAGATTGTCCTTGAGTAGGGTTGCAAAATAAAATTGGGATCCCTTGTCCTTGACAGGTTTGCAAATGAGTGTCAGGCCTCTTGCCTGCTTCATGTCACCTTCATCTTAAATTTATTGAACTTTGAAAAAAAAAAATTATTGAGCTTTGAATTTAACCTACGGACTAGTTGACCCTGGAAATCAGGGGTTATCAGGGGTTACAGAAGGAGGAACTTTTCAATTTCCTGGGGGTTGGCTTTGAGGGCACAAAGATCTTTTGTGTTGAGGGCACAGAAATATTTGTGTTTATCGTATTTAATCTCTGCAGGGTGAAAAAGGTGGCACTGGCCTGCCAGGCCCAGACATTTTCATCGATTTGGATGGTGCTGTGATCCCAGGTGCAACTTTTCGTTGATTTGAGTAGAGAAGAAAAGACAAGGAGTTAAATTCTATATCACCTGTAGTTGTTAAAAGGATACTTTGTTAGCCACTGGATTGCCTCTACATCCGACACTCCCAAGGGACCCTTGTGGGTCCTGAGCTTGGGGAATGAAGTAACTCCAATCCCTTGGGCAGAGAAGCCAAGACAAGCACCCCATTTTTGTGTTGGGTCTACCAAGACTAGGATTTGGGTCAGTCTGGGCCTGTATTTGGTAAAAATGGTTCCCCTGGTGATGCTTAGGGAAGTATTAATATCCTTCCCAGCTGGGTTGACTTCATCCCAATACTCTGGGACATGCAGGGTCTCATGTAGATGATCCCATGCATGCTTGAGCTTGAGGATTTCACAGGACATGGAAAAGTATCTTCGGCTAAGGGAACAAGTGGTTGAGAGCCCTCAACAGTATGATGCTGAGAAAGTTTGTCTTCATCTCTCCTTGTCATAGTTATTATGTGTGCCCAACTCTTCCTTTTGCCCTCTCCTGAGATGCGGATGCCCAGTGTCTCCAGCTATTTCTTGCTCGACCAAAGTCTTCTACTATAGTGCCTCTTCCACCTGGGTCTCCTAACTCACCCCTTCTTCTTTTATCCTCTCAGGCCCATGCTGTGTCTGGTATTAATAGTTGACAGTGACTTCCTGTGTTTTACCCCCAGCAAACCTATGTGTATAACATAAATAGTGGACTTCAACATCTTAACACAAATAGTGGACATTTGAGGCATTACAGCAGATTAGTAGTGGTAGAACAGCCTTCCTAGTATTTACCAGAACTTATCATGAAGGCCAGCCTTGGCCAAACCAGCTCTGAACGCTAGTGGAGCTTTGGCTCCTCTAGGTCCATTATCACCCGAGGCCATTAGCATCTGGATGACCTGGCAAGGACAAGAAAGGCACATCTAACCCCAGAACAGCTTCCTGCATCTCTTCTTGGGCATATTGTGGCATTTGTGGGCTTCCTCTGTGTTTGTTTACTGCTTTTTTTTTCTTTTTGCTGCAATGCCAGGTTATCCTGGAGACCCCGGTGAACCAGGCCTCCCAGGCCTTAAAGGAGATGAAGGCATCCCAGGCCTGCATGGCCCTTCTGGGGTTCCCGGCTTCCCAGCTTTACCAGGTGAAGCAAACTAACCCATCTCCTGCATAGATCAGTCCTCTATCCACTCTGGTTCCCAGCATCATCTTCTATACCTCTGGGTCTGAGCACACACCTAGCCAAAGTCAAAGGAACGGTAGACTACAGTAGGTTCCCTACTGCCAGCTCAAGGCTAATGTAAACAGGAATAGGGTCTGGGTGAGCAGCTTTTCTTTGACTTAAATAATGTACCATAGCTGAACAGGCAATCCCAGACTTTCACTGAGGTTTGCAGAAACCAGAGGGACCCTGGTTTGGGCTGCTGGAGCCCTATCACTCTTCTGTGGATGTGCCATCCCAGCTGATGCTTGCCAAGAGGGTCTAAAAAAGTCCAGAGGAAAATTTGTGCCTAGACCCTCACTCTTGACTTAACTCAGGCATGATGGTCCTAGGATCCTATGGGTGACACCCTTGAGCCAATCATCAGAGGGGTGCACCCTTATGTCATTCCGTAGTGGCAGGTGGAAAAAGAGCATGCCAGAGCCTGGGAGGCAGTGATGTCCCAGATACAAAGCCTCAGACATTACTTTTAAAGTTACTAGTTTCTAAATTCCTTGGAGATGGGCCTCTGTAAAGGCACCTGTGCTTTTAAAGCAGCCACTAGGAGGAGGTACAGTTGGCCCCAGCACCAAGGTGACTGGAATACCCCTGAAGAGTAGAGTGATATCATGAGCATTTTTGTGTGGGCTTATCCTTCCAGGTGTTCCAGGTGAACTAGGGCCTCAGGGATTTCCAGGCCTGAAGGGGGACCAGGGAAACCCAGGCCGCACCACAAATGGAGCAGCTGGCCTCCCTGGCAGAGATGGTTTGCCAGGCCCGCCAGGTCCACCAGGCCCATCAGGCCCACCTGGTAAGTTGTTCATTCTCTCTTTGGTCTTGAGACTCAGTTGTGATCTAGACTGCAGAACAGTCATAATTTTTGAGGGAGCCTGTCACAGATGAAACAGCTAGGTCAGGACACATGATAGCTGCAGAGGAGCAGCAATAAAGGCCCCGTCCTCTCTGGTTAGAGCCCTGCCTCTACCAGTTATCGACTACAGCAGACTATTGTTCATCAAGGAACTAACAAGCTAGGGCCATCTTGATGACCGAACACCACCTAATGCCTTCCAACTTTTGTACCCATTTCCATTCCATCCTTCAGCCCCTAAAGCCTCGGTTTTTCAGCTCCTAAAGAAGGAGCATTGGCTTTTTATAGCTTCCCCTGGTTCACAGGGCCCCAGTGGGGTGGGCTGGGAGCCTGAGGTAGGAGAAACCAAGCCTGGATCTTCAAAGTGGCTGCTATAAGCCTATGCAGCCTACCAATTTCCTCTTTTGTACTAAGGGGGTCTTTCTGGGGTAGACACTTGGGACTGCTGAGTTACTGAAGCTACCTTGTTCATTCCCATATCTCCAGTGTCTACTACAGTGCCTGAAGCATAGTAGATATTCCGTCAGTATTAGTAGAGTGAATTCAGCCAAAAGAGGATCCTATTAGCTCCTTGTTGCAGATGTAGGGTCACTGTCTTGGATTTTTTTTTTTTTTTTTTTTTTTTTTTTGTGTTTACTTTTTTTTCTTGAAACATGTTGGGTTTTCTTAAGATTGTCATTTGGGATGCCTCTTCAGGCATTTCACTGGTTTCTTGTTGTTTGGGTCTGGTGTTGGAGAATCTATAAGCCTATGCAGCCTACCAATTTCCTCTTTTGTACTAAGGGGGTCTTTCTGGGGTAGACACTTGGGACTGCTGAGTTACTGAAGCTACCTTGTTCATTCCCATATCTCCAGTGTCTACTACAGTGCCTGAAGCATAGTAGATATTCCGTCAGTATTAGTAGAGTGAATTCAGCCAAAAGAGGATCCTATTAGCTCCTTGTTGCAGATGTAGGGTCACTGTCTTGGATTTTTTTTTTTTTTTTTTTTTTTTCTCCACTCTGGTTGTTGAGCCTTGAAGACTCAAGCCTTGGTCATTGAGCTACTGTGCTGAGTCAGGTGAATCATCAGGCTCATAGAAGCTACCAATCAATCTTTTATGTTTCTTCTCCCTAAAGGTTCAGTACTTGAGACTGGAACCCTACACAACACAGAGCCAGGGTTCCCTGGTCTCCGAGGAGAACGAGGTCCAAAAGGAAATCCAGGCCTCAAAGGTGTAAAAGGTGATTTTGTCCCTTTGAGTTTCTTTGTTGCCCAAACTCCTTAGAGAAAGCTTTATGGGGAATGAACAAACAAACAGCCTTGGGAATCCAAACAGAAGCAATCCTGGATCTTGATTAGGGCTTTGATTATAGGATTATTAGAAATGCTATATTTGGGGATCTAAGACTGAGGCTGACAGTTGAGGTCACACAGGACAGAGTGGCTCACAGGCTACCTTTCCTCCGCTGCCCACCTGCAAAAGCTATTGCTGGCAGCTCGGGGTGTTAACCAACACATGTTGCAACCCTTCTGAGTTTGCAAGGCTGAGGCTGGAAAGCTTGGTTTTCAGCCTTCAGGAAAGGGCTCTAAACAGGTCAAGCCCTGGGTCTGTGAAAAAGCCAACTGGTTCCAGGAAAACAACTCCAGTCCCCACTGATGTTGAAGAACTGATCAATGAGCTCAGCCTTCACCTGCACCGCTTCTCTCCAACCTCTTGCTGCCTTTGGGTCATTTCCCCATTCTTTCCTCTGCGGGGAAGATGCTCAAATATGTCATTGCATTACAATGGTAGCCCAAGCCAGCCTGGAGGAAGAAGTGAACCTGCTAACTGAAGAGAGTTTGGGGGATGGCCTAGGGGTTTCAGTTACCTGAGATCTCTCCTCTCCAGGAATTAACACCTCTCCACAGCATCAAACAGAGAAGTTCTAACTTTCTTCTCTCCCTTCAAGTTGCCCTGTCATAAAATGTCACTACCTAAGTATAGGAGCTGGTTAAGAAATTTCTGAAAGCTTGATCTCTACTATTCAGATAAAAGTAAGACTATTTGAGGGGAAAGGGCATTAAATTGCAAGTCTGAACTTAGGATGTTCATTTTAGCCCTTCCCTGACTCATACAGAACTGGTCTATTTCTCAATACCATTCTCACTCCTAAAACAGGGACAACTCCAGGGCTTCCCCTTCCGTAATTCCATTATGGAATTAGGGCCAGAAGTTTTTCTCTAAAGTCTGGAACAGTGATAGTGATTCTCAAGCTTCATCATACATGAGAATCACCTAGTGGAGGTTATTAAAAATCAGATTCTTGGGTCTGGCCTCCTGAGAGTCTGACTGATTAGGACTGGGATGGGGCCCAGCAAGCTGCCTTACAAACAAGCATCACAGGTGACTCATGCACAAAGTCCATGGATCACACTTGAGAAATGCTTAACTGGAGAACAGACTGTTTTCTTAGAGTTTTGGGGATTGTCCATTTTCTAAAAGTTAGAAGAGGCCCTCCAGGATCTTAGGGGAGTAACCTATATGGGCACCAATTCTCCTTTTCCAGACCATAAGCATGGAAGGTATGGGTTGTTGGGCTATAGTGCTAGTGACTCCCTGACACCTCTTCAAAGGTACTTTGCTGAAATCCCTATCATCAATGTTTTTGGCATTTGCCTCATGTGTATAAAAGTCAGGGGTAAAGAAATTTTAGTGAAGAGAGCCTTTGAGTGGCTTGGATTCCAGACTCTCAGTCATTTAGTGTAGGTCAGTGATTCTCAACTCTGGCTGCACATTAGACTGATGTTTAATCATTGATGGCTGGGCCTCAGCCCAAACTAATGAACTCCAAATCACCAGCACAGACGTACTCTGATGGTGAGTGAACCTAGTTCAATGGAGTCTGTTCTCTGAAGGTATTCTGATTCCTTCCATGGAGTTAAGTCACAAATAACCACTATGAGGTCTTCCTTCTTTTTGGAAAGATGGCTAACTTTGTTTTATATTGCCTTTTTTCCCCCCAGGAGACTATGGTTTTTGTGCTTGTGATGGTGGTGTCCCCAACACTGGACCACCTGGGGAACCAGGCCTGCCTGGGCCACAAGGTCTCATAGGCCTTCCAGGCCTTAAAGGAACCAGAGGAGATCCAGGATCTGGGGGCACGCAGGGCCCACCAGGGGCTCCAGTAAGTCTTGCCAAACTTTGGCCCTGAGGGAGCAATGGGAGCTGTCCTAAAGCTCATAAACAAAAGAGGGGAATAAACAAAGCTTTGGGTTTTTGGTCTGTAACACGAAGAAATCTGACTAGATGGTCTCTAAAGTCCCTTTCTGCTTAAAGTACCTACATTCCCTCCCTTCCTTCCACAAAATTCTTTACATTTACCCAGTACTGTGCTGGGCCCTGAAGATAACACTGAAATTAAGACAAGATTCCCATCTTCAAAGATTTCAAAATTTAGAAAGTATGTACATCATAAATGGGCAATTATGGGCCAGCCAGGTGGCTGACTCGGGAGAGTGTGGCACTGGTAGCACTGAGGCCGCAGGTTCAGATCCTATATAGGGATGGCCGTTGCGCTAGCTGGCTGAGCGTGGTCAAAAAATAAATAAATGAATGAATGAATGAATGGGCAATTATTACCCAAGATGACAACATAATCAAGTGCCTGGAACAGTGCCAAATGTACCTGCTTTAGGTCATACTTATGCAGGGTGCCAGACTTCTACGAAGCCTGAACCTCCTAATTATTCCCTTTTGTTTCTGTATCAGGGCTTATTTGGGCCTCTAGGTCTTGTGGGCCTCAAAGGAGAGAAGGGGGAGCCAACTCTCAGTACAGGATCAGGGATGCCAGGAGAACAGGGTAATCCTGGCCCCCAGGGGTTTCCTGGTGTGACAGGAGCCGCAGGCAAGGATGGAGTACCAGGTTTACCAGGTCTGCCAGGCCTTCCAGTAAGTTGATCATTCCTGGGTAAGTAGCTCTATAAATCCTCACGCCTGATTTGTTTGGGGGGGGGGGGGGGGATGTCTGGTGGCCACTGGACCATGAGACAGGACAGAACAGAGAGACTCCAGAGCATCTTCTTCTGCCTCTGCCACTGATGCATTTTGCTCCATGCTTTTCCTTTATGTAAAGTGGGAATGTTTTTCTCAGAATGGGTCACAGTCTCATTTGATAAATGCTAGTAACAATTGACCATATCACTTAAAAATGCTTCAGTTTCTCAATGGCTTTTCCCCTTCAAATAATGTACCTGCTTTCTGTGACCTCAAGAGTTGTTATCCTGCTTGTTTCCTGCCCTCCCTCCCAACTCCCATCTAGAACCTTTTGCATTATCAGGTCATCCAGAGTGGACAAGACTCATTCCCACTAATTAAACTCAGAGGAAGTTGATTGATAAAGAATTTTAACAAAACACAAAGCATTGCTCACATCAGTTGCCTTTCCTATGGTCAGAGGACTCTCCAGGTAAGTCTCTGAGTTGGACTTTCATTTTTTTTATGTCATCTAGGGTGATGGTGGACAGGGATTCCCAGGTGAAAAGGGGTTACCAGGACTTCCTGGTGAAAAAGGCCATCATGGTCCAACTGGCCCCCCAGGAATTGGGCTGCCAGGGCCTCCTGGACCTCGTGGGCTTCCTGGAGATAAAGGAATAGATGGATTACCAGGACAACAAGGCCTTCCTGGGCTTCCAGGTGAGTCAAGGAATCAGATAGCTTTGGACTTGGAAAATGGCCCCTTGTAGAGTGGATGTGACTAGGGTGCATGAAATGTGTCATAACAGGAGACTTGGCTGACCGTAATGACTATTTTCAATCCTCTTAAGGGTTTTCATGTAGAAAAGGATCATAATTGTATGTGGTAAGCTTAGAGGGCAGAGCAATATAGATTTCAGCTCTCGTTAGTGAAGAACTTCCTAACAGAGCAGTCTGAAAATGTAGCAGAGCTACCTAGGGGAGGTTATGAGCTCATAACCCCTGGAAAAGCTCAAGGAGAAGCTGGATGGCCATTTATTGCAGATGTCATCGAAGTAATGAGTAGGAGATTGGATGAGGTGTCCTCTAAATTGTATGTTAATATCAGCAGGAAAAAACTTTTTCTTAATTCATGGAATCTCAGATTGGGCAGAGATACTAGTTACATCTAGTCTAATCCCCATTTGACACCTTAAAATCCTCCCCTTTTTATAAATCGTTTTTCTATTTGAATTTCAGGAATTATAATGCTTATAGATTATGAAGGTACAATGCTAATAACTGATCTTCTGTATAGCCAAAACAGCTTTTCATTCCAACTTACTTGTTTCCACAGCTTCTATGTTTTCATTAGTGGCACCACAATTCTTATAGTTACGTGAAGGTTGCAAATTTGAGATTATCTCTTATTCTTCCTTTGCAGTGCCTCTTATATTCTTTCCTTCCTCTTCTTGTTACTACACTATTATCTCATGCCTAGCTTATCAAATACCTATATGCTTGTTGGGATAAACAGATGGATGGTTGGTTGGATGGATGGATGAGTGAGTGAATAACAACAACTTCCTATACAGTTTCCCATCTCCTACCTCCAGACTTTTCCCGTTCACTTCTACTATGAACACATCTGCCAATTTAATATCTGTAAAGTGTCAATATCATCATATTACTCCCCTAATCCAAAGCCACAAATGGTCCCCCTTGAATGAAGGATGATGTCCAAACTCCTCAGACTGGAATTCAAAAGTCTCCAAACATGGACACAATGAACCTTTTCAACCTTATCTCACACTTCTCACAATTAAATAAAAAAATCTAAAACACCAGTCTTCTTCACTGCACCCAAACTCAACAGGTCCATTGCAGACTCCAAGTTTTTGCTTATGTTGCCTTTTTCTGGTGTGTCCTTCCTCTTTTCTCTTTGTAGTCATATCATATCCATCTTTCAGCGTTCAACATAAGCTTTCCCTTGACCTCTGTGGCATGTCATTGCTACTTAAATTATGTATCTCCTCCCATTAATGCTTTCACTTTTCCCACCTACACTGTAAGCCTCTGGATACTAGAGAAGGTAAATGACACTTAGCATTTCTCAACCTGCCTAGCATGGTGCATTGTTCCATAGGAGACTAATATTTACTTGCAGAAGAGAGGGCTTTCCCAATAATCAAGGGCCACTTTTTAGACCTATTTCTCCTCTTTCCACTTTGTCACCTTGAAGAATTACAAAAAAAAAAAAAAAAAAAAAAAAGGAAGAAGAAGAAAAAGACAGAATACCAGGTCTTATAAAATTATATTTGTTTTAAAATCTATTTTTGTGAGTTAGTGTAATAAGGATGATGGTACAGGTTAAAACTTGATAATTCAGGATTCTTAAAACCAAGTCATATGTAAAATTCTCTATAAATGTGAAATTTTCTTGCTATTGTGACATGTGATGGCCAAGATTTGTATTTAAATTTTGGCTGAATGAATGGTATAATAAAGTCCCTTAAAAACTCAGGGCAACCAGAATTTGGCATAAGAAATCAATAATTTCTGTATTAGTGGAAATTAATAATACACTTAAAATGAAGTTGAATTTATTAAAAGAAAAAGCCAATATTTAAATTCACAAATTCCTATGAAGGCTGTGAGCAATTTTTTCAAACAAAATCATTCTGCCTTTGGGAAGGCCTAGTGTCGACATAGTCTTGCTTCCAGCTCTGTTCCCAGAGGCATTACTCATGGTCATTCCACTGCCTCTCCACCAATTGGGCCTTCATTCTAGGTCATCCTATTCTGTAGACAACTAGGTTTTAAACTGAGTTGTAACAATATGGCACCTATAAACTTACACACCCTCAACTCTTCTGGATTTTATCAACATTCCAACTGTTTGAGAATAAACTGTCAACAGAAGGAAGCTCATGGGACCATTTCTGTCCCAAACTTCACTAGTCACTGGATATAGAAAGTTCTTAAGAATATAGTGCTATAGTAAGCTATTGCCTGAGAGATGCCTCATGCAGAAAATATCCTTGTTGCAGTACTAAGATTCCAAAAAAATGGCTTCAGTAAAAAGCATTAGGTTTCTTTTTCTCTCTATGGCAACAAGATACAACTCCTTGAACCTAGGTATTTTTCCACACAATTTAAATAATAAATAACCTATGTGCCCCAGATATTTGCACTGTAGCCATCTCTGTTGCCATGAAAAGTTAAGATGCCATTTCTAAATGTGCTCACTTCAACCAGTGGTAGTCCAGGTTAGGACAGCCGCATTGCCAGGAAACAGAATGTAATCATCAGAAGCCTTTCAACCTAATAGTGTGAATTATTACAAACCCTGGGCAAGCAGACAACTGGCTGTTCCAAAGAGGCTGTGCTCCAGATGCTCATAGTTATCAATAACCCTAGTTATTACTGAAGCAGCTACTGTGTGCTTGATCCCGTGTAGGTGCCAGCTCTCCACTCAATCCAGACAGGGAATATGGTTGGCGGGTATATCTGGGCTGCAGACAAGGCTTCCCTTCAGCCTCAAGGAACTTCTATCCTGGTTTAATTTTCTTTCTTTGCTTGATTGGCCTAGGTGACTGCTGCTGCAGGGAGAAGGTTGGTAAAGGAGACTTAGAGACAGAGGGAGGTGAGAGCTAGCTAGGTCTACTGGTTCTCAGTCACTAGTTTTGGCAAAAGTCCCCTTCTTTTTTGTTCACCTTTGTCTCAGACACTCACAATGGCCTGAGCACCACACTGGAGCCCCTGTTTGGGGAGAGATGATTGTAATGCTGGGTTACAAAGGCTGACACTGACACTGCTTCAGAGGCTCCTTATCACATACTGCCTGAGTGGGTGGTGGGTGTAAGCAGGAGTAAGCAGGCATGCAGTCTCTGACAGGGGCTGATTTCCTTCACCATGCATGTTGATGGCTTGGCTTATCTCCACCTTAAGTGATTTCATTTTCTGAACTTAACTGGGGCTATAACTTGCCTTTAGAGGTACCCGGAAGGATATGCATATATCTGATTTTTATTTGTTGGACCCAGAACAAATGGAGATGTTAGAATCTTGATAACCAGAGGCCCTTTTTATTCTGAAGATGCCTTTTGGCATTAATGGCAAAATTTTGAATAACTAGGTCACTTGCTGCACTTACAAAACAGAACAGCTCTGAATTCGAGAATGTAAAATAGAAGACAGGGATGTAAAGTAAAAGAGCCAGATACAAGTATGACTTGAAATCCTGAACCATTTTGAACCTCTGCTTGCAATACACAAGTGTGGTGTGGTGTACAGGATGGGTCTGAGGCACAATTATGAGGGAAATATGTCCTTCTTTTCCTCTGGTGTCTACCCATCTTCCCTTTTATCGTTATTTTTCCTGTCCTGGACCTTTCCAGATGCCTGTCCTGGCCCATCTTCTAAAAGTCTTTATTTTTAATCTGGCTGTCACAGGTGAAAAGAATCTATTGAACTGATCTGATAAATTGAGGATGTATGGCTTCATATTTGGACCCAGCGCAGGGATATTTTTATTTTACTGAGGTTGTTTCTTTTACATAAAGCCATAAAGCTATAATGGTGAAGTTTGACACATTGGAGCCAATGGGTTATTGAGATAGTTGGAGGGAGGGGAGTCCTCTGCAGGGTTCCTCTCATGATACCATCTACTGAGGTAGTTCTTCAGCCTAGTTCAAAAGACCCAGGCCTGAGCTGAGCGCTGGGTTGGAAGCGCCCTTCCAGGAAAGCATCTCACCATGAGGCGCTTGCCTATAGGCCATATTTCCATACTAGGGAAACAACTTTCAGAAATAGCTCCATCATCTCAATGTCTAGCAGTTTGGTGTGACCACCTGTGGAGGAAGATCCAAGCCTATGGGCCATCTCTCCACCTGTAGAAATATGACTATAGAAACCTGAGGACTTCTAAGCAGAAAGTTCCTGCCCAAGCTACAAAGTAGTGTCACTAACCTGACTAAGGTACAAACCAGGGGATGGCCTTGCAGGAGCTCTTCTGAGCACTTCTCCTGAAGTAAGATAATAAAAACTACTGTCCACCAAGCACGTGCCAGGGTGTCAGACACTGTGCTAAGTGCTATTAGCACTGTCTCATGTTGTCCTCAAAACACCATATGAAATAGGTAGTTCCCATTTTACACATGAGGTTCAGAGAGGTTAAGTATCTTGCCCACATAGCTAGTTAGTAGCCGAACTAGGATACCAACTCAGGTCTATCTGGCTTCAGAGCCCAACCTCTTAACCAATACATTGTACTGTTCATTCCCCAGTCTTGATTTAGTAATAGAATGAGTGGGCTAAAAATGCCAAGGCTTCATATTGGAAAATAGAAGTGGGATTAAAGGAGAATGCCAGCCAGTTGAGTGAGCAGTCTGAATCATAAGCTGTATAAATATTTTTCAGAAATGTAGTTTGTGATTTAAGTGCAGGGAAATGCTGTAACAGTTGATTAGCACTGTTGGCTCTGTAGTTTAAAGCAGATCTTGGGGGATTGTTTTAATGAATGGACAAGACTAATTTTAATTAGCATAGCAATTGTTTGTAAATGGCACTTGAGGGAGCCTACAAACAATTTGTTCACCAGTACCTTATTAAACCTCCCCTCTGTAATCTTATAGACTTTTTATTTGCATTATGAGTGAGCAAGGAAGAATTTGCTAGGAGAAGGGCTATGCATGCCAATTTGGACATCTTGAATATTGAAATGCCCCTTCTCACTGAGTAGCAGAGGGAAGGGTCACCACTGTTTGTCATGGCCAACAGAGTGGCCTTTACTGTTTGCCTGGTACAGACATTTGGGTATATCTGACCAAGGACAATCAATAAGTTTCAGTAGATCCCAAAAGAATTGTAGTAAAAGAGTCCAGTGGTTTAGGAAAACCTTCATTCCAAGAAGATAGCAGCCATGTGAATTTGAGGGGTCTTAGCTTCAAACCCTCCAGTTTAGTCAAGTGGGGATAAAGGACCCTTAGGACTAACCAAACACCCATCCTAGGGAGAGGCTCTATCTGAGGGCAGAGTGAGTCCCCCCCCTCAAATTGATGTTTGCTGCTCTTCTGCAGAGGCCACCACTAGGAAAACTTGTTAGGTGACATTTGGTGCATAGGTGATTGCTTGCCCACTGAGCACTGATGGTTTGATAAGTGACATCTTGGCACTCAGATACTAGGGACATTCTCATCTGTAAACAATTGCACTGCTAGTAACTCACAAGGGCTTCTGATGCCAGGATTCTTCTGTGTGGGCTCCTAGCTGCTGGGTGGGGAGAACATGGCTGTCCCATTAAGTGAAACAGCATTAAGTAAAAGAGCATGCTAGAGGGAAATCTTCCCTGACTTAGTGGGTTCACCAGATCCATGTTACCATTTGCAGGAATCACCTTGCCTTGTATTATTCCTGGGTCATACGGTCCACCAGGATTGCGAGGAACTTCTGGATTCCCAGGTATGGAATGAAGCCAGAGAAAGCCACTGAGCACACTTGTAAGGGCCATGAGCCAAAGGAAGCTGAGTACAGCCCAGTAGCATCTGGGGATCCACATTCCTTCTGAGAGCAGCCTTAGGGATTAAGGAAATAGAATGTGCTGGAGAGGGCAGTGTGGGGAGGTGGAAATAAGAGAAGCCCTCCAAGAGACTGGGACTCTTGACTGAATATCTCAAATCATCCCTAGCCCCACTGACTTTCCTTTGCCCTCACTACTTACGTTTGGGTTTGAAGGCCCTAAAGGCGCCCGTGGCCTCCCTGGGACTCCAGGCCAGCCCGGATCACGTGGAAATAAGGGAGAACCCGGAAGTCCAGGATTGGTTCGCCTCCCTGAATTGCCAGGTAAGGAAAGGATTCTCTCCTCATCTGCTTCTCTCTTGTGAGTGTGTTTGGATAGTGGTAGCACTCCACCAATTACAGGAAGCTAGGTTTCCTCTCTGGTGTGCGGGCGAAGGTTTGATTTCATACCCAGGCAAAACACAGAGTAGAGCCATAGAATGACAACAGAGCAGAGCAAGAAGAGCCAGTTGAGATCAGTTGGGACAACGCCTTAACTTTCAGATGAGGAAGCTGAGGCCCAGATCGAAAGTAACTTGCCCCAAATCACAAACCCACTAGTGACAGAGCTAGGCCTCTACCAGGTTGTCTGTCTGGCAGTCCTATGGCAGATTCCTGGACAAACTCCTTCAAGGTCAGAGGAGGAGATTCAAATCAGTCAGAGGGAAGTTGTCCATTTCTATCCCTTTTCTCACACCCTGTTGTTCCAACCTGAGCTTCATTGGTGCTACGCTGCACCAGTGGTTCTCAAACTGTGCTCCCTGGGCCAGCATCAGCATCACCTAGGACCTGGTTAGGAATGCCCCTTCTCAGCCACCGCCACCCCAGACCTGCTGATCAGAAACTCCAGGGTGTCCCAGCAATCTGTGTGCTTCCCCAGGTGACTGCGACACATGCTCAGGGTTGTCTCTGGGCTCATCTCAGGCAACATGCTCCGGGGTTTATGGTGCCTCAGTTCCCTCCACCACACCCTACCCACCCAAGAAGAGGGAGGCATGGCAAAAGGAGGCAGACAACCCCAGGAGAGATGGGGCTCTTGCCAGGAGGCCTTGAGGGGAACCCATGCTCTTAAGCAACTGTGGGGTCCCAGGAGCGGGTGACTGACCTCTGCCTTCAGGTAGCCTCACCCAACCTAGAGCCTCCTCCAGGTCATGCAATGCAGTTCCTGTCTCTGTGCCAGTCCTCCTAGGACCAGAGCCCCTGACCTTCAAGAGAAGTGACATATATTATTAATATGTTAACTTTTCTATAAGAAAAATCTGTCTCAGAGATCTCTACCCAGACAAGTCGCTTCTAAATGTCCATGGCCTTTTATTTTTGCCTCTTTACACTTAGGATTTCCTGGACCTCGTGGGGAGAAGGGCTTGCCTGGGTTTCCTGGGCTCCCTGGAAAAGATGGCTTACCCGGGAAGGTTGGAAGTCCAGGTTTACCAGGTTCCAAGGGAGGCCCTGGTGACATCTTTGGTGCTGAAAATGGTGTTCCGGGAGAGCAAGGCCTACAGGGATTGCCAGGGGACAGAGGATTTCCTGGAGACTCTGGCCTTCCGGGACCTGAGGGTGACTCTTTTTGCCCCACTTATTTAACAATCTACAGAAAGCCTTATAGTAACCAGTGCACTTGCATGAATTTGGGGTGATGGGTTAATTAGGGGGTTAAAATGAAATATCATTTTGTTCTGTCCCTCCCTTTTGGGAAATTTTCCTTAAATGGCCTGACTTCATTATCTTGTCTTAGTAATTCCAGAAGTGACCATAACCAATAGTCAAATTTCTTGCAGAGTATCTGGTTTACTTCTGGGAATAGCAACAAGGCTGGAGCTGAGAAGACAGTGGCACTTGGGATAAATCCTGGGCCAACCTCTTCCTCTGGAAGTTGGTTTGTTGACCCAGTCTCTGCTATCTGTCCAGGCTGTGATCATGTGCCCCTTCCTTTTATTAGGTTTGCCTGGGAAGTCTGGCTTGCTAGGCCCCAAAGGTGAGCCGGGCAGCCCTGGAACACCAGGACATGTGGGACAAGCGGGCCCCTCAGGGTCTGGTGGTCTGTATGGCATCAAGGGCAAATCCGGGCTCCCAGGAGCACCAGGCTTTCCAGGCATTTCAGGTAGGTCCTTTGGAGGAGGAGCCCCAGTTTGACAGCCTTCAGCTAGTCCCTGGGCCCAGGTGCCCTGAGAGGCAGTAGCAGCAGTGTGACATGGTCAGAATTTAAAATGGGGCTTGACTTTCCTAACCTCTCAAGTATCAAATCTCAAGTCACTCTTGCAGTGCCAAGCAGAACAGATTGCTGCAGTTTAGCTTCCAAAAGAATACAACAAATCACTTCCTGCCCCTCCTCCATGACCTCACCCCCTCCTCCCTTCGCTAGTTAGAGCAGCCGCCCTTGTTGAGCTGGGTCTAGCCCACCTCCATCGCCTTCCCTGGGTCCATGGTGAGCCTGCTTTGGGTTGGGGAGAAGCTGGAGCACCGTGTGACCGGCCTGGTGGCCTGCCTGTCAGACAAGCATGCCTCTGAGGACCCACGGCCAAAATGTCTTTCACTCAGCAGTGGGACACGACGCCCACTGGTTCCAGCCTAATGTTTGCAGCTTGCCTTTTTCTTGTACCACCCTCCTCGTCACCCCACCTCAGTGACTACGTCATTCCCCCCTTACTCCTAGCGAAGTGAATGAAGTTGAGTTATTTGCAGCAGAACTATTAATATCCTATTTATCCCCTTCATCCTTCTGTGTTTCTGGGGTCCTCACATAGGCTGCCTAGGTGAGAAAACACAGCCCACAAGCACACAGACTAACACCCCTGCCAGCTCTGCCACTCAGGGAGTTATCTGACTATGCGCTATAACATGGACTTGCTTACTAGGGCGGGGATCCCTGAGCTCATGCTGTGAGGTCGGCTCCCATTTAATTTCCTTCCCTTGTTGTGGAGTCCCCTTCACAGCCTTCCATTCGAATCCTGGGGCTTACAGCTACTTGATGCTTTTCAATCCATAGAAAGCCAAGTCAGCCATTCATTTAGGTCTTTGGGGGCCCAAATACCTCTGTCGTCATTGATTTAATCCTTTGGTTTTTTAATTTCCTTGCTTTGTACCTGAACATTCCACTTTGGCGGCAGCTCAGGAGGTTAATCCCATTGACCAACTTTAAAGCGTGGTGAAAGACTTCTCAGAATACCTAGGAGACCAAATGGGCCTTGTGGGTTTCTACAGTACTTGGCACTAGGGGGTCTTTCAACCTTAATGCCAAGGAACTGGCTGACTTAACTGCTTGCTTGAGGGATTAAAAGGGCAGCCCTGTATCCAAGGCTCCCTGGGAAGCTGAAACAACAGCTCAGCTTTAACCTCTACTTCTTGTTTGGCTCAAGAAACAGCCATTGTTGTGTGATTCAGAGTGGAAGAACCAGGAAACTGGAGCCCAGTTGCCACCCTGGCTTCCCAGAGCTCCATTCAGAGGCTAAAGCGTGAACCACATTCATAAAGGGAGAAGTTATAATCAGAAGGGGTTTGCTGTCCCTGCCAGCTACTGTGCCATGCTGGAAGTAATAGCCATTGGCGTGGCACTCTGGGTGGTAGGTGCTAATGCTTCAGCCAACTAAGAACTCTGCCTGTTAGCAGCTTGCATATGCCATTGTTAAAGGGCCATGTGCAAAACCCAACAAGCCAACCAACCGGAAGCTATGGGAATAGGCAGTGACCCAGATCCTGCCAGAGACTCTCTTGGCAGCCGTCCTGTGTTCTCTTCTGTGCTTTCCAGGACATCCTGGAAAGAAAGGTCCAAGAGGCGAGACAGGTCCCCCCGGATCAACTGGAAAGAGAGGTCTGCCTGGGCTGAAAGGCCTTCCTGGATCTCCGGGGCTAATTGGCTTCCTGGGGAGCCCAGGCCTGCCAGGGGGCACTGGGTTGCCAGGCCTCCCAGGCCCGAAGGGTAAGTGAAGTGATCAGGAAGGCCAGTGAAGTGACCAGTGGGTGCCAAAAAGGAGATCGCACTCTCCTCTCTGCCCAGGAATGGGAAACGGGGAGGGAGGTGGGCAAAGCTTTTTATGACAGGGTAGTTGGACAAGGCTAGTGCCAAGGGAAGACCCCCACCCAAGCTGAGTCACTGTCACTGCCTGCTGGGTTGAACACTGGGCTGAGCATCACAGTTAGTAAAGCCCAGGGCAGTAACAGCTGCACTGGGTTTGCTCACTTGCGTGGCCTCTACCGTGGAGCCCGAGAGCTCTCACTTCCTGTGATTGCCCTGATAACCATCGGTGGGTGGGCAGGGAACATCTCCAGTTTAAACAGGGAAAGTGACTGGTCCAACGTCACACAACTGGTTAGCAGCAGAGCCAGCACAGAGCTCATCTCCATGCCCTCGGCTTTTCTTTTTTTCACATGAGCTCTAACTTGACGAATCCTAATAGAGGGGCCCACTTATTTCGTTTGTGTTGCTTAGTGCCATGTCCCTGTTCAGGGGATTAGTACAACGTGTAATGACTAAGATCTTGGTAATGACTAAGACTTTAGAGTTAGAAAAACCTGGGTTCGAATCCCTTCCCTGAAACTTCCTAGCTGTGTGACTTTGGGCAAGTTATTCAACTCTCTGAGTCTCTGTTTCCTTGTATGTAAAATGGGGATAACAATAGAAGTTCTTGTTTCTCAACAGGTGAGAAGGGGTCCGTGGGACTGATAGGTTTTCCAGGGATGCCAGGTCTCCCTGGTATTCCTGGTGCAAGTGGACTGAAGGGAATTCCTGGGTCAGCTGGAAAAGTGGGGACACCTGGACTGGCTGGTAGTCCTGGTGAAAAAGGTGAGCTGGGGAATTTAATTCTGTTCCTGGCATTCATGCTTCTCAATATACACTTTGTTTGTTGACTTTGTCATTCCTGCGGTTTGTACCAACCCTATGTTAGATAATAAGATTTGGGGCTTCTGAATTAAATCCTTTTAAACCAAAGGACCTAGGATGGCCGGTTAGCAAAAAACAAACAAACAACAAACTACCCTCATGAAAGAAAGAATCAATAAGCTGGACTTTATTACAATTAAACCAAAAGACATAATCACTTCTGAGTGAGCACCGCATGTTAGAGGCCTTGTCTGTACATTTCCAGATGATAAATGGAGGAGGGTTTTGAGTAGGGTCTAAAATTGCTGATGGGCTTTGGGTTTGTAGAAAAAGAGGGCACACACAGAAACGCAAAGTTGGGGGAATGGAGGGGGGAAGAAGATGGAAGGGCCCAGAAAGAAGCCGGGGGTGGTGTGGGAAGAAATGGTATGAAAGGTCAGCCCTTGCCTGACCCCGTGTCTAAGCTCTCTCTCACGTTGATCTCCTGATCTCCATCCCTGCAGGAGACAGAGGCCATCAGGGGCCAGTCGGAATACCCAGCCCAAGACCTCCAATGCTGAACCTTTGGTTCAAAGGAGACAAAGGCTCTCAGGGATCAGCCGGATCAGATGGATTTCCTGGGCCCAGAGGTGCTGGGGCAGGGGATGGGCAGGAGAAATGCCCAAGAAACGTTTTACAACCAAACTTAAATTCCTTCCTGAGAAAAGCCCCCCACCCCCACCCCAGAGCAGCCATGGGGATGGCAGCAGGGGGCCCAAGGAGGCTGCCTTCCCTGGGCCTTAGGGGTACCTGGACTTTGAGACTGCCATGTGTCGCTGCCACTGGGGACTGAGATTTTGAACCACAGGCTGCGGTAACCCTAGAGGAGCCTGGCAGATCGGGGGACATGGGCACTGAGCTGCTTTCCCAGTGCTGGAGTTGGGGTGGCCCTAACAGTGCCTCATAATGCTGAAGGCACTTCCCCCAAGGTAACTGCTCCCCAAGCTTGCATTTGGCCTATGACCCAGGGTACCTGCACCATGGCAAGCAGGTTTCCTCTAGGCCAGAGTCTTTTCCAAGCCTTTTTGCTTCTTTCTCAGGTGACAAAGGAGAGGCTGGCCGCCCTGGGCCACCAGGCCTTCCTGGAGCTCCTGGCTTCCCCAATACCATCAAAGGACTTACTGGGAGGCCAGGTCTCCCTGGCTCTACAGGACCACGGGGCTTATTTGGCCCGAAGGGATCTCCTGGGATCACAGGTTTCCCAGGAATGCCAGGAGAAAGTGTAAGTTTGCCCAGATCCTTGTCTCTTCACCAGAGAAGGGCTTCCATACAGGGAGACATGCCCTCACTGCCTGCCTTTCTGATCCCAGCCCACATCCCAGCCCTTTCCCCAGGACATCCTCAGACAAAGCCCTCTGCTCGAGTCTGATGGCTCTTTCTTTTTAAAAAAAATTTCTTATTTTATTTATTTATTTTTTTTTAAAGATGACCGGTAAGGGGATCTCAACCCTTGACTTGGTGTTGTCAGCACCACGCTCTCCCAAGTGAGCCAACCAGCCATCCCTATATAGGATCTGAACCTGTGGCCTTGTTGTTATCAGCACCGCACTCTCCCGAGTGAGCCACGGGCTGGCCCCTCTGAGGGCTCTTTCCACCCCTTCCTGAACATCCTGTCTTCCGTGCCTTTGTTCACATTATCTCCCTCACATGGCAGAGCCTCCTCCCTCCTCTGCACTTGCCCAATACCTGCCCGTCCATTCAGCCCCCAGCCCTCCAGGAGCCCCGCAGCTCCCACCGTGCTGGCACTCTCCCCGTCTCACTGCTTATATTGATCCCAGTTGGTTCTGCACGGGTCTGACTTCCTCAGTGAAATTGTTAGGGCTTGAGAACAAGAACTACCTCATATGCTTTTTTTATCTGCACCCCACTCCCAGCACCCCACATTGAGCTTGACACATCTTAAGAATTTGGTACACACTTCATGATGTTTTGACAGAAAAGTCTTTGATGCTCCACAAGGGGCAACGACTAGCAAAGAATCAAGTCCAGTTTCTCTGGGCTCTTAAAAGGCAGAGTGGTAGAGTAGGCTAAGCAATGAGCTAGTCTTGGGTTTAAATCTCAGCTCCATCACTCATTAGCTCTGTGATCTTGTGTACATTGCTTGTCTTCCCTGAGTCTCACTTTCCTCATCTGTAAAAAATGGGAATAATATTCAAACCTCCTTGAGACACTATTGAGGATTAAGCGAGATGATACATGTAAAACATCAAACATCGTGTCTGGCAGGTGGCAGGTGCTACATGAATAGTAGCAGTATTGAAGGGTCCGAATGAACTGGATCACAGAACACCTGTGCTCCTTGCAGGCAAAGTCCCTGTCCTTCAATTGTGTCAGTCCATCTGGTGGAGAGAACACACACACACAAAGCAATTGCAAAAGAAATAGTTCTAGAGTGGATGATCCCAACTATTCACATACTAGAAGAGATGGAAACAAAGTGGCAAGGCATTCTGGGAGGGGTCCCAGCATGAGCAAAGGCTCAGAACTAGGAGCAGAAATGGCAATGTGCAGGATGAAGCCAGGCAAGGAAGCGGGCAGCACAGATGGATGTCCTGGGTAGTGGTCCAGTGAGCAGTGACCCAGCCCAGAACTTGGCCTCCTACCCAAAGCACAGAGTGGCATATGTCTTTACTGGGTACTGGATACATCTCAAAATGAATCAAAACCACCCTGAGTGTCAGGGGAAGAGCTGAGCTGACAGTGGTTAGCATGCCTTCTTCCCAGACTCAGGTAGTGTGTCAGACATTAGCCAGCAAAGGCAGCTTCTCCTGTGAAAACGGTAAACATTTGCCCAAATTCAGATGCCAGCACTGCACACATACAGCCTGCTACCTGGTGGCAGAAGGACCTTGTGTTCCTTGCAGAACCTGGGGCAGAGAGCTAGCCCCGCTGGGTGAAGCAGCACTTCTTGTGCGTAATAGCTCCAGAGCTTGATGAGGGCGATGGTGGCAGACCATCTGTGAAGCGCACAGAGTGCCTGGCCTGTCATGTTCTGTATTTTCTAAGAGACTCCCTCGAGCAGCTATGCCTTGATTTCCCAAGATTCCAGTTTTGATAGGCAGTGGGAAGTTACGAATGATAAGACTAGATTAATCTGCAGGTGGAATCCTTCCCCTATACATCCTAACTATGCGCTTATGCCCTTTGCCCTTTCCCATTTGCACAATGTACCCCTGAGTCCACCCCTGCTACAGAGTGTGTGAGAGACATCTCTCAGGCATTGCCTCAGGGAGGGGAGGAGGAGTGAGTAGGTGGGCAGCCCTGAGCTCTGGGCAGAAATGATGATTCCTATTGCTTTGAAGGGTCCACAGGGTCTCAGTGGGACTCCCGGGATCCCAGGAGCATCTGGTCTCCCAGGCTCAAAAGGTAAGGAGTGTTTTCTCTTTTAATGTGTTTGTCTAGAGCAAGGTAGATTTCTAGCAGGCCCAGGGATCTCTTGGTGAGAAACTCTGTTTAGGGGAAAGTGAGTTGATTTACATTTCCCGTTTGGCCAAACCCCCTCTGCAGTCCTTGTTCCCCAAATAGGATGCAACAGTGGTACCTACCAAAATCTCTCTCCATGGCTTTCATGGAGCCAAGGAGAAGGCTGTCCTTCAGCTTTGTGGTTTGACCCATCTGCCTTTCAGACTCAGCAGCAGAGGAGAACCTCAGCTCTAGACAGTCTCTTTTCCTGATGAACCCAGCCCACTAGGCAGGAAAATTTCCCATCCTTCCTGGCATCACCATTCCATTCTGGTGATTTTTCAGGGTCCCGCTTACCATCCTCTCTGCCCATACTGAGCCTAGTGGTGTATTTCCCAATGGAGATATGCTGCATGTAGCTGCATTTCATGCCAGTAGCCTGGTAGCATCCCAGCTCCTGGATGGTGATTGATCACCTTCTACCCAATGGATAATTGTGTCCAGGAGCTCCTCTGGCTACAATGAATCTGAAAAACATTTTGTGTTCAAAAGATCTCTTTGTTGCAAAATGAGCTATAACTTCTCCTGACCATCTGAACAATGTCTTTGATATTCCAGGAGATAAAGGCCAGACGATTGAAATTTCCGGCAGCCCAGGACCCAAGGGACAACCTGGGGAATCTGGTATGAAAGGTAAAGCTGCTATATTTTTGTCTCATGTGCCCCACAGTCTCCTCAAAACTAAGGATTGGAAGTAATTTTGGAGGTCAACCCCAAGTTCTGTAGTGCACCAACTTCAGTACAGTGCAGAAAAATTTCTACCTACGATTTCCCCAAGCAAACCAGCCTGCTCTTCCTTCAAGACTTCTAGGCTGGCAGAGACCTTTGGGATAATGCTATGCACCCCCTTAGTCTATAGATGGTTATCTAAACTGTGCTTCTCAAGCATTTCCATCCATTGCTCCCACTTCTGGGGGCACTCAGAACAAGTCTACTCACTTCACAATTGGATGGCACCTTCCAAATGTGAAGACAGATGCCAATAAACTTTTGAGTTTCTTTACTGGATTTAGCTCCCTTAGCAGTTCAAAATGATTTCACCTTCCTGCTCTCCCTTTCCCACTGAGGAATATACTGCCAGAAATGTGGTCTGATCACTCAGCATTTTTCTTGATTTTGTAGGTGCGAAAGGAAAACATGGAGTAGTTGGTGATGTTGGTTTACCAGGAAACAAAGGTGAAGATGGAAAAGCTGGTATTTCTGGAGATGTTGGCCTCCCTGGATCCCCAGGTACTATGCCACAATGCAGCTTTATTCTAAAAGAGTTAGGATTAGCTTCAAGCCATGCCCCATTCTGAACTTCTGCCTTGGTTTCATGTTTAGGACTTCCAGGGATTGCAGGTATGAGAGGAGACCCAGGACTTTCAGGTCCCTCTGGTCTTCCAGGGACAGCTGGGCCCCTGGGACCCTCTGGCCTAACAGGACCCAAAGGTATGTGTATTTGGGAGCAGGCAGTGGAATAAAGTGTCCTTCCCTCAATAAAGGACAGCAACTACTTTATCTTAATAGACACTAGCTAAGGTTACATCATGCCCCTGGGAGTCATTGACTGGGCTGCATGAGAATGAAGAGGAAGGAAGGTGGACGAGCATGAATGGGAAGAGAAGAACATGCAATCCATGGAGAGAAGAGTTAGCAAAGGTCATTGCCCTGGCATATGTAGCCTTTCCCTGACTTAGAGATTTGGCAGCTAATTTCTAGAACCAGTCTCTGGGAACTGGCAACTCAAGATAATGGCATTGCCACTCTGAGTTCTTCTTGAAGATACCTAATGAGATACCACCCCACTCTTAAAGCTGTATTGGTCTCTGATAAGAGTTATGAGAACCTAGGGTGCAGGGTTTAGGTTAGGGGCGGTCTGTTCTCCCTTAGGGCACTAAGCAGTGCCTCAAGAAAGATCGGGACTTTAAAATGAGGACCTTGCAATGCCTTTGGGGGCAGGACCTCTTTCAGACCTCTCATGATTCAGAGCTGCTGGAGCTATTTCTGATGTTCTCTCCCCTCAGGTTTCCCTGGACTTCCTGGTTTACATGGACTCAATGGGCTTCCAGGCACCAAGGGTACCCATGGCACTCCAGGTAAGGAGGACCCTCAAGGGTGAGGAGGAGGGCACACCATCTCTTCCACAAGGCTGGCAGGAGATGGCCACAAGTTCTCGACTGTGGTATATCCCACATCCTTGGACTGAGACCTCCTCACCAGCTTCCAATTAGAAGTCCCTTGATATGGGATGGAAAAAGGATGGGGTTTGTCCTTCTACCCGAATGAGCTCTATTTCCTGTCACGTCAGTACTCTGCCCCTGGTGTCTGTCAGGCAGGCCTCTCAGGCCCCAGGCAAATGAGCTAGGCATGAAGGCCTTGTCCGCACTGAGCTCTGTCGTCTCACTCTGCATCTCCTCCCAGGACCCAGTATAACCGGTGTGCCTGGGCCTGCTGGCCTGCCTGGTCCCAAAGGGGAAAAGGGTTCTCCAGGAGTTGGCATCGGAAGTCCAGGGAAGCCAGGCCTGAGGGGACAGAAAGGTGGCCGAGGTAAGTGATCCCAGGGCAGGCCATGTAGAAACTGAGGCCTTGCTGGGGGAACCAGGGTAAAGGTTCATCAAGGCCATGTGGCTCACAGAGTTGAGCTGCGTGTGTCTTCACATCTCTGGGAGTCTCAGAACCCAGCAAGACTGAGTGCTGAGAAAGAGGATAGGCCATGCTCAGGGCTCTCCAATGAGAAGTTGTCAGGGAGCAGTTCACCGAGTCCACTGTAGCCTCCAGATTCCCTCCCACTCTTCCCGATTAATCTCAGGGCCTCTCTTGCACACTTGGCCAGAGCCCGGGTTTAATGGTCCTAAGGGACAGGGCTTGTCCACTTAGTGAGAGGTTGGCCAGAATTTCCTCAGTGTCCAGTGTGGATGGCACTCCCAGGGCCCTGGGAAGACAGTGTGGAAGCTGGAAAGAGCCCAAAACTAAGAATAAATGTCTCCCCGGGACAGGCCCACAGTGTGCACTCAGTTAGGATTTGTTGGGTTTGCTGCAAAGCAGGTTCCATTCTAATATTGGCCACCAATTCGTCACATTACCTGAAGTCCTTTCTGAGCCTCCCTTTCGCTACTCCTCAAAAAGTGAGAATAAATTCTCATTCTTCAACTTTCCTTAAGAATGTTCTGAAGACTCATATCCCATTCAATGTAAACCAGGAAATAAATTCAGTGTAGCATCATGGTATGGACTCTAGAGTCAGACCAGCTGGGTTCGAATTCCACCTCTACCTCTCACTAACTATATGACCTTGGACAGGGAAGTTACTTGTCCCTCAATCTCAAACTAACCCTTAGTTTTCCTTTTCTGTAAAATGGGCATAATATCAGAACCTATCATAGGTTTTGTGAAGAATCAATGAGGAGTGAGGTAAAAGCATTGAGCTCAGTGCATGGCACATAGCAGGTGCTCAAAAAATGTTGACCATTATATTATTGCATGTCACCTGGGGAAATCATATTTGCAAAATGCTCTGTTCCTCATAGCTCTGGGGACTGAGGTCTCACCATACTTTAAGTGCATGTTTGTATAATGTACGTATGTTTCCCAGGAACTGTATTTGTACATTAATTCATTTCCTGCTGCATTTTGAATCGGTACATCTGCTGTTTCTGTGTTTGTTCTTTTTTTTGATCTGGACCAACCTGTTCTTTTCTGAAAGCCAGCCACTTCTCCAGAGAACAGGCTCAAAGTAGGGTCCGAGCCAGCAGAGACTGTGGCTTCTTTCACAGGACATAGAAAAGAGGGAACAAGAGGGGACTGGATAGAAGCACAGGGGTATTTCCTTCTCTGTGTTGAAATCTTGACTATGAATGCCTGGTCATTAAATTATTTCTTTCCTTTAGCTATGCGAGGTCATAAAATCACAATTACAGATGTGGTAAACAGCACACATCAAGATGGATACATTTCAGGAACATAATGTTGACCACAAAAAAAATCATGTCGCAGAGAAATACGTTTGGTATGATTCCATTGATTATTGTTCAAAAATAAGCAAAAACAACTAACATATTGTTTAGAGACACAAATATACGTGGTCAAACTGTGATGAAAAGGAAGGGGTTCATTGTTTCTGGATCATTCTTTACATATTATTTATAAATATTCTGTTGAATCTTCTCGATATCTAATTAAAACAATTTGTTTAAAAAGAATAGAGCAAATATACTCCCCCACAGGAACTTGTCTTTGATTTGATATTGGAAGTCAATGCAGAGGATTTACCGCTAAGAAAACTCCATAGAGCAATCCCTGTCCTGACAATACCTTTATCTAAATAACTTTCAATTACACCATTAATTTTTGTATTTATACTAAATATTTAGAGGTGCATTTGTATTATTTAGGTTTTTTTTTTTTAAGGCTTTGACACTGGAATGAGTTAGAAAAATAGACCGTTTTGCATTTTCATCTGTTCATTTGAAATATTTTATTCCTCATCAAAAAAATACATGAGCTTTTTGCACTACTCGAGGTCTGTAGTGCCTTTCTTTCAGGTTTGATAATATATTGATGTAACTACAAAATCGAGAAACAGGTAAAGGAAGGAAAAGGCTCCAAAAACTGCCATGGGAACTTTTATAACCTGTGTGCTGCCCATACTTACTCTATTGTACAAGGATTAAATTTAATTCTATTTTTCCACGAACTTTTTGAAGTACCCTCATATGTGAATATGTGGTGTCTTCTGTACTAGTTTTGTGTAATTTCAGTTTATATACATAAGCTACATCTGTATATATAATGCATAAAACCATATTTTCAGAAGAAACACATACGATATGTCTTTCTTTCCAGATTTTTACCTCTATAAGAAAGAACAATACTTCAAACATTCATCAAAACATAACCGAGAATACAATTACTTTTTTCTTTTCGACCTAAACTACTCTTTTCTCGAAATTTAATTTTTCCTTCTCTAGATTTCCTCAGGATTCAATTAATCAATAAGCTATTTTAAAACACCTGAATTAACCAATCTACCATTTTTCTTTACATGTTTTCATTGATTTGCTATATTTTTAGACGAATATGAGAAATTCAACGTTAATATTTTTGTATTTTTCTTGCCACAAAAGAATTCAACATTAATATTTTTGGATTTTTTGGTCACAAACAAAAAAACAAGAATCTCAACCACCAGAACGGTTTATCATCCAGTTTGAATCTATTTCTCTTCATTTGAATATCTTCTAGAATATGCCAAAGTAATAAATACATTTCTTCCATGCTATAAACTTCTGCATTTGTATATAGAGCTTTGATGTGTTTTCTCATCAGGATTACCATCTGTGTATTTGACATGTGAATATTAAACAAATCTTTTGTAATCAGATGAAAGTTTTTTGCATGTATTATAATAGATATCATTTTACAAACAGAAACATGTAAAGCAGTGTTAAAATTTGAGCAAACCACTGTTTTGTATCTGCTGTAATAAGTGATTAGTCTTTTGGGCCAAAAGTGGGGGAGGGATTTAGCACAGAGAAATTTGTTCTAGAGGCAATTAAGCAATCATTTGGCTAATATCCTGAGTCCTTGCCGTCTCCATTCTGACTGGGCCGGTGGCCCTTCGGACTGGCTGAGGCCTGTCGCCTACCTTTGTGTAACATCAGACATAACCGGCTAACATGAAATGTTGTTTGACAGAGACGGTAGGTTTACAAACATTCGGGAAACAAATTCCAAGTGCTCAGTCATGCCTTCTTTTCTTTCTGATTTGGGGGTAATCGGCCTAAAATATTTGCATTACTAGTGAGGTTGGGGAGCTGTTAGAATTTTCCACAGCTCTATCCCAATAAAATGCAGCTCCAGCTGGAAAGGAGGACTGTCTGAGCTTTTTTCAGTTACGCATGTGTCTGCTTGCTGGGAAGGTAGGATGAGGGGAGAAGAGCCCTCTGCTGGCGTTCTCTGGTCTGGCTGCCACCTAACAGCTTGCATTTCTTGTGTGAATTTCCATTTTCTCTGAGAGAGCCTGGCCCTCTCCTGGGCACACAAAGCCCCTCCAGCCCCTTTTATTTATTCTTTGCAGGTTTCCCAGGTCTCCAAGGCCCTGCTGGTCTACCTGGTGCCCCAGGCATCTCCTTGCCCTCACTCATAGCGGGACAGCCTGGTGACCCTGGGCGACCAGGCCTAGATGGAGAACGAGGTAAAGGCAGGAAGCCCAAAAGAAGACTGGCCACCACCTTTTGTCTGGCATCTGGGGAGATCCTTTATACAGTGCAATCCAGTCCCTGTTGCTGGTCAGGCGTGGGCCTGCTTTAGCCTCACATCCCTCCTCCAGCTGGGACTCGGGGGACTGGAACTGGCTGCATTTTGCTAAAAGGGTTTGGGAAGATCTGGGCACTGGGACCCCACAGAGAGCAAGGAAACATTCTCTGTCCTGGGAATGGGCTTCACCTGCCTATCAGTCCCTAGGCCTTCAGCAGCAGCCACTTTCTGCTCACCTGCCCCTCATCCTTCTTCCAATCTTATCTCCAGGCCGCCCAGGCCGCCAAGGGCCCCCAGGTCTCCCTGGGCCATCCTCGGATCAAGGTGACCCCGGAGATCCTGGCTTTCCTGGAATTCCAGGCCCTCAAGGGCCCAAGGGAGACCTAGGAATTCCAGGTTTCTCTGGCCTCCATGGAGAGCTAGGACTGAAAGGTATGGCTGTTTGCCTGGCTTTCCCCACTCCACAGTCCGAGATGGCTCCTTCCCCGCAGCCCTGTGAAGAAAAACCAGCTGATAACATGCTTCTGTACCTCGCCCCTGCCTAGTCTCCACGCCCCGCACCGCCACCACCATGCCGAGGCCTGACTTGCTTTCCTTTGGACTTTGCCAGGCATGAGAGGTGAGCCTGGCTCCATGGGAACTCCAGGCAAGCTTGGGCCACCTGGAGACCCAGGATTTCCCGGGATGAAGGGGAAGGCAGGGCCAAGAGGTGAGTTGAGAGCTCCTGCTGGGATGATCTGAAGCTCAAGGAAGGGGCCTGGGGGTAAGGTCCCTACTCACCATGCCAAGAAGCCTGGATGCCCCAAGCAGCTGGATCAACTCCCCCAGGGAGGTAGTTTCTTCACCCTGGGGAAACTTCTGCCACCATCAGCTGCCAGGACTGAAGGCCACTGCTGCTTTGCCACTGTGGATCCCACCACTGACCTTGTCTGTCTGCGTTATTTCTGTGTTTTCTGCGTTAGTGGACATTGGCTTCGCACTCAGATCACCACTCACCCATTTGCTCAATCGTGAAATGAAGAACCAACCTTTCCATCCTTTACCACCCCCACCCCATTCATACACATCCAATCTATTAGCAAGCCTGAGGGTTGTATCTCCTAAATGTGCCTTGCATAACCCCAGATCCGAGCCATCAATATTTCTTATGCAGTGCCCTTCCCTACCCCACCCCCAATAATCATTTTTCTACACAGTGGCCAGAGAGATCTTATAAGAACATAAATCATCCAGTGGCTTCCCATGACATCAGAATAAACTACGGCCTACCAAGCACTATGAGACGCCTCCGTCTTCATTCTCATCACATTCCCATTTCCCCCACCTGCCCGCAGGTTTTTCCGGTCCCCCAGGTGCTCCTGGAAAAACACCAATTGCAGAAACCGTCCAGGTTCCTCCTGGACCCATGGGCCTACCAGGCATTGATGGCGTCCCCGGCCTCACAGGAGAGCCTGGGGTTCAAGGCCCCATCGGCCTACAAGGTGAGGAGGGCACTAGAGAAAGGGGACTTCTTGAGGAGCTAAAACGGCCATGGCTGAGGCTGAAGCTACTGGCTTGGAACCCCAGCTCCCAGGGGGCGCCTTCGTCAAGCGCTCCCTCTGCACCTTCACAGAGCTCCTGAGCTTGTTGCCAGAGAGAGGCCCGTAGGCAATGGTTGTAGTTAGGTTTACAGACTGTGTGGGCAGGGCATGGCCACTTCTCCAGACAACTTGTCCCTCTGTAAAGGGCTGCTGAGGGATGGAGGGAGTGTTAAAGGGGTGGTAGGTAAAGGGCAACACGAGGGGCAGTGGAGAAAGCCCAGGGCTGGGGGAGAGGAAACCTGACTCCTAATCCCAGCTTTGCACCAACTGGAGTGAGTTAGTCTCTCTGGGTCTTGGCATCCCCTGTTGTGATATGGGACGCTAGCAGTTGCCCTGCATACTTCCCAGCGTTGCTGGGAGGATGAGAGGAAGGGAGGAGGAAGTGGGTGTGAAGGGGCTCAGAAAGGCTGAGAGCCCATCCCAGGGCAGAGATGTCCCCACGATCTAAGGACTAGATTAGGCAGGCTTCAGCCTTGATGTGCAGTGTGCGCGCCAAGCCGACAGCCAGTGAGCCCTCCCCTGGTGAGTCTTGGGCATGATGCTCAAGTCTCCCTTTCCTGCTGAGGGCGCCTCAGGACCTTCCACACCCCCTCACCCCCATGAGCTTTCTCTCCTGCAGGCCCCAAAGGTTTTCCTGGCATTTCTGGCAAGGATGGCCCCAGTGGGCTCCCAGGCCCGCCTGGCACTCTTGGTGATCCTGGTCTCCCTGGACTGCAAGGCCCTCCAGGATTTGAAGGTCTGGTGATGTCACATTAAGGGGTACAGGGCTTCTGTGAGGATTTGAGGCTAGGGAATGAGTAAAAAATTAAAATCTGAGACTTAGTAAACCAGGTGGTAGAGCTTGACATTACTAGGAGGCTCAAAAATTGGACTCTAGTCCATTCACTCCCCATCACCCTCTGAGCCTGTGAAGGGATGCTCTACATTCCAGAAGGCAAAGGACCATTCCAAATCCTTTTCTGGGTTCTTCTGCAGCTCTTAAGAGCTATGACTGTATAGTACAGCATGGCCCCATGCCCTGCACCTAGGGATTTTGACATGAATGGGAGGGGGGTGGTTCAAGGGATAACGACATTCGAGATAAGTTATGATTGTCCGTACCTCTGCTACTTACCTTCCTTTTTTAATCCAGGATAGCAAATCAGTTGTTCTGAGTAGAGAACAGTTCTGAGGCTAGGTGGGAAAATGTTGCAATCAATTAGTCACATCTGCCATGGACAGGAGAGGAGAGAAGGATTTTGCCCTGCTGATCCTCACTCTGCTTTGAATGCCTCTGATTCAGCAGCTACTTAGTTATCTCCTTTGAGGGCCTATAAGACTGGGCCCAAAAGTACCCCATTCCACCCCCCCATCCCCACTCATAGAGAACCCAAGGCCGGGTGGCTGTGGGAGGGAAGCTGGATAGTGTACTTTTCAAAATGGGGACTCTGTAGCTGGATACATCAGAGGTGAGCTGTGGGACCTTCGAGCCTCAGTTTCCTCATCTACAAGTTGGGGTAACAGTACCACTTCCCAGGGTGGTCGTGGGGATCAACTGATATAAAGATAACGCATGTATATAATTACTTCACCCAATTCGTGGCACACAGTCAGTAGCAGATGTTACCACTAGCTGTACTGTGCTCACCCTTTATGCTCTCTCCCTCTCAGGGGCTCCGGGGCAGCAAGGGCCTTTTGGAAGGCCCGGAATGCCTGGCCAGAGCGTGAGAGTGGGCTACACATTGGTGAAGCACAGCCAGTCGGAACAGGTGCCCCTGTGTCCTGTTGGGATGAGCCGGCTGTGGGTGGGATACAGCTTGCTGTTCGTGGAGGGGCAGGAGAAAGCCCACAACCAGGACCTAGGTAGGTACCAGCTCTGCCAGCCAGCCCTGGCCACCTGTCCCCACAAGGACCAACAGCCAACCTCCTCTCTTGTCCCAGCCTTTGGTGGGCCCACTTGCTGTGTAGTGGATTACAAGCACCAGCTCTGGAGTCAGGCGGATCAGGGTTCAAGTCCTGGCTCTATCACTTACTAGCTGTGTATCCTGGGCAAGTTATTCAACCTCTCTGAGCTTCCACTTCCTCCTTAAAACAAAGCTAATCACATGAGGGTGGTGTAAGGAGTACATGAATCACCCAGTGTAAAATGCTTAGAACAATGCTTGGCATTTAAGCATCCATTAAATGCTAGTGATTACTAGTAGTAATAATAATTTGACCTGCAGCGCAATGATGATTACCTGAGAACGAATTGTATTGTCTGCAAGTGTGCTAACTCTTAAAGGCAGACTCCGTCTACTAAATGATGGTTTTACAAAGGGAGTGATTGATTATTCAGTTTATAAAAAGATTGTTGTCATTATGCATTTAAAATAACATTTGATCAACAGGCTTCAGTGTGTGTACAGTGTCACAGGAATGGAAGGAGAGGGCTGCCCTGGTGTGGTACAAGCGGTTGGGTGTAAACCCGAACCACCATCTAGTCCAGTCCCGGTGGCCCTGCCCCCAGCCAGACCTCACCTGCCCTTGCCCACCTGTGCTCCTTGCAGGGTTTGCTGGCTCCTGCCTGCCCCGCTTCAGCACCATGCCCTTCATCTACTGCAACATCAATGAAGTGTGCCACTATGCCAGGCGGAACGATAAATCCTACTGGCTCTCCACCACCGCCCCCATCCCCATGATGCCCGTCGGCCAGTCCCAGATTCCCCAGTACATCAGCCGCTGCTCTGTATGTGAGGCACCTTCGCAAGCCATTGCCGTGCACAGCCAGGACATCACCATCCCGTCGTGTCCCTTGGGCTGGCGCAGCCTCTGGATCGGGTACTCCTTCCTTATGGTAAGGCCTTGGGCTGTCCCCTCCCCCAGTGTACAGGCAGAGGGCTAGGAGCTCTGGGAGGGCCCCTTGGACTGGTTCCTAGGCTCTAAGGACACTGGATAAAAAGCACAGAGTTCAAAAGGAAGGGAAATACTTGGTTTGGGTTTGGCTGAAGACCAGAGAGCCTAGTTCTGCATGAATGACAGGTAGTTATGGGTGTGGGGGGAAAAAAGCAGTTTGCACCCAGTGGTTCAGGGTGAGAATATCTATGAATCACAGGCCAAGGCCCTACCATCTCTATGCCTCCTTCGGTTCTGCTACAACTAAGGAAAGAGTAAAACACACTATGATCTGGGGGGACAGTGAAGGAGAGTCCATCCCCACTCGGGGCTGGGACCTACTCTCACTGGTCAGGCCAGGCATGGCACTCCCCCCCACCTTCTACCCACCCTACCCGACCCCTCCAGCCACTGCCATCTCCTCCTGAAAAGCTCGGCCGAGGGCATGCTGTGTTTATGGGTCCTTGCTGGCATCTTTGCCACCTCCATTTCGGTGGGAAGGCAGTGGCCAGCCATGCTGTGTGTCTTGCTAGGAGAGAGAACATCTGTAAGCCCAAGGAGGCATTGAGCCCCTCACATGATATTCCCTGAACACCTGGGGATGTTTCATCGAATGAAAGGTCAGGTTCAGGGTCAGGACAATTCCCAGGGAAAACCAGAGTGGCACCCACTGAAGTTCCCTGCCTTGTCGGAGCTTCTCTGCTCAGTCACCACGAGCGAGATGGTGAGAGAGTGTCTTTGAAGAATGAGCAAAGCCGCAGGCCCCCTCACATTAGTGTAGTTACCTGGGGAAAGGTACTTCCTTGTTATGCTCTGTCTTTGTGCACTGGGCAGTTATCCCAATGTAATACAGAATCGCCTCACCTGTCATTATGTTCTGTCTGCCTTTCAGACCTTATTTCTATAAGGAGAAAAGGCCCCTGAGCTTCCACAAGAAACAATATAAAAGCTATGCACTAAATCTCATGTGCTTTGCTTGTGGGTGAGCCCTTAGCCTTTATTTGGAATTTCCTTACTCTCACTTTACACATAGTTCTGACATACTAGAATATCTATTCTTTTCCTGAAAATGTGAAAGGGTGAGAATTTGGACTGTCTAGTGAGGTATCTTGAAGCAATGAGACCTGCCTACTAAAAAGAAAAAAAAGAGGGAGAGACTGATTCAAAGGAGGCCTGAGAATTCTACCAGCTGCACCCCTTAGTATGGGGCTCTTGCATAAATATCCCACACAAAACTGACGTTCATAATGACAAACCTGAGTCATCTGCAAAGTTTAAAATCAACAGCGTCTGCTGTTTAGTAAAGCTGGAAAATGTGGTGTGCGTTTCTCAAAGTTTTCTCCCTGGGGATCGAAATGAGGAAAACTTTGATGCTTCGGTTCTCAGGAAGGTCACTTGAAAGGTCATGTGGGGCCGGCCCGGTGGCGCACTGGAGAGTGCGTCGCTTGGGAGTGTGGCGGCGCTCCCGCCGAGGGTTCGGATCCCTTGTGGAGACCGGTTCCCGCTCACTGGCTGAGCGCGGTGCGGGCGCAACACCGAGGGTTGCGATCCCGTTACCAGTCAGTAAAAAAAGACAAAAAGGAAAAAAAAAAGAAAGGTCATGTGGAGACTCTCACTCTCCCAAAGTTCTGCAAAGTGAGGGGTCCCTGTGTATCCAACTTGAGCATCTGTCCTATTGGCCACTGGCTGACCCTGGTGTGAATTAGACCTTTTCCCATCTCCTGTGGTCCAGATGATAACCTGGTTAAGGTGAAGGGAGAGGGGTGGGGGTGTGGAGACACGGGGCTGCTGTCCATGGGTAGTGACAGGAGACTATCGGCTCATGAGTGGCCCTAAAATCAAATGCTGAGGGAGCCCTCTGAAGCGAAGGCCAGGACATTTAGGCCAAATACAATGAGGCCCCCTTTTACTCAGCAGGTAACAAAAACTATATGACACTCTAAAGGGTATGGCACTGATTGAAAATATAAGTAGTTCTAATAAAGGTAACTGCAGAGTAGAACTACCAATATACACGCTGGGAGAGGAGCAGCCATGGCTGAGCCAGTGTGTGGAATATTGCAGGCTCTTTCCCTTCTTCCAGTGCAATGCACAGTGGACCAAGGGGTCTGAAAACTGCAGTTCAGAAACCATTTGAATTTTCTTTAATTCCACCTTTCTCTGATGTGTCTGTGGAAATTTGGGGGGAGAGGGGCACGCAACACACGTCCGAACTCAGTGGGACAGCAGCAGTTTGGGAACACTGGTCACGCGTAACGGGTTAGAAGGGCACTAGGGAGCGTGGAGGGGCGCTCCTGGCCCTGAAGGCTGCCCCTCGTGCTTTCGGTATGCTGCTGGTATGCTGCTGGGAGCTGGGGCTGAGCCCAGGGAGGGACCAGTGCTCAGGAAGGCAGCTCCCGTGCAGGGTGCGGCGGGCTCACTGCCCCGGTCTGTTTCAGCACACTGCGGCAGGTGCCGAGGGCGGAGGCCAGTCCCTCGTCTCACCGGGCTCCTGCCTGGAGGACTTTCGGGCCACTCCTTTCATCGAGTGCAGTGGTGCCCGGGGCACCTGCCACTACTTTGCCAACAAGTACAGTTTCTGGCTGACAACAGTGGAGGAGAGGCAGCAGTTTGGAGAGGAGCCTGTGTCTGAAACGCTGAAAGCTGGGCAGCTCCACACCCGGGTCAGCCGCTGCCAGGTGTGTATGAAGAGCCTGTAGTGCGGCACCCGTCTGCCCTTAGTCCTCCTCTGCGCCCCCGCCACGGTCACCTCACAAACCCGAAAGGTCTGAAGAAGGAAGGCCTGAGCCCTTTTGTCTGTCAAGGAGTACGTTGGAGTCTCATTTGGGCTGGACTACTGGACACTGGTCACCCCAACCCTCAGGCCCAATAGAGGAGCCCACCCTACTGAGATCTGCTGTCCCATTTCAGTCAACCTGGTGCTACCATTTGATGGGGATGCTTGCCTGACTATTCATGGCTACCTCAGAAAGATTTGCTGGGCCACAACCATCTTAGATTGCTAGCTTGCCTCACTGTCTTGATCAGAAAGCTCTTCATAATAGCCAGTAAGTCATTTCTTTATGTCCAGAGTCACCACACATAATTCGGCTTAAAGCAGAACCCAGTGTTTCTGCATTTAAAACAAAATTCTCCAGCTGAACATTCGAACATTCATGGATGACTCATCTGCATAGGGCAGTCCCTCACTGTTCAAGGAGGCCCACTGCATCTAGGCAGGCGGCAGAACTGGAATGAGGTGCCAGCCAGTAGGCCGGGGTGAGATTTGACTCGTTCCAGAGTGAGCTAAACTGGGCCCCATATTGCTTAGGGATGCCTGAAGGCCAGCAGTTGAGAGGGCTCACTAACTTCACACAGTCCTAGACAAATCACTTCCTCCTTGCCGGCTCTCTCCTCAGCCAGAGACAGAGGACTTGGCCAGGTCCAAAGTAGAGTAGAGGATGCAACAAATGTGGCCAAGGCCATAAAAGGAAATGAGAACCACAGCCCTTTTTCCTGGGCCGGCAGTAGAGGGGCGGATGAGTAAGAAGGTGTGAATTTTGCTTTTGACTCCAGGAACAAAAAGGTAAACCCCACGTTCCAATTCCTCAGAAGTCCCTGTTTATTCAAAATGCCATCCAGATGTGTGCAATGTGGCCAACTGAAGTTGCAGTGGGTTGGTTCCTTTGCATTCTGAGGCTATTAAAGACTTTCCATTAAAGTGTTCATCCAACTGCTCTTCCACAGGTAGCCTATTAAACTATTATGCTTTTAAAACCTCATAAAAATCTAGCACACTCCTCTCATTAACCGTTAGCAGAACTAAAGCAAACCTGAGTTGGCTATGAAGCGTATTGTATTCTGTTTGGGCAGATTTGTTTTAGCCATTTTCTTTAATTACCGGTTTCCCAGAATACTCTTAACTATGTTGACATGAGGCAATTCCTTCCAGGTGATTCTGTTTCCTTAACTATTATGTAAACTGTGCCAAAGCAGACAAAGCATAATCAGTATAATCTCAATTACTGTTACCTTCACCTCCTAGATGAATAATAAGCATGGTGTCAGCTTTGTATATAACAAATAAAATGAATGAAATCTGAACATTGGACTCTTTTGACTTCTTTGAAAAAGCTATTCTAATGTCCATCTCGCCACAATTTATGAGTCTGCCTCAGAGCTTTGGAGGTTCCTGTTACTGTGAGTCTAACGCTAGAACAAAACATTGAAGCAGGAAAAAATTAGAAGATGATCAAAGTCAAAGGGCTGAAACAGTCCTCTAATGGTCAATAAACCCCAAACCTGCTTCAAGATAAGCCTGCAACTGCTTTTATCCCCATCACATACAAAGAAAGGCATTCCCATATTTCTGTGCCCTAAGGATCATTTACAGATAAATCAAAAGTACAGAAATGTTAACGTTGTTAAAATCAAATCTAAGCCATAGATATGTGTATGTGTGTATATATGCATATGTTTATATATATGTGCATATACTTATATATATATATATATATACATATATTTATGTATTTATATATATATATATATACATATATTTATGTATTTATATATGCATAAAATAAATCCTCTGGAAGGATAAACAAAAAATAACGTTGGGAGCTTTCACAGAAGGGAACTGACCTGTGGGAGGGAGAGACATTTCACTGAATATCATTTTCATCTGCTGAGGTTTGAACTACTGGAATATCTTACTTACTGGAAAAAAAGAAAAATATGGAATGTAAGGAAACAAGTGAATTGGTTTGTTGCTAGCTTCCAAATCCCAATTGCTGGCCTTCCCTAGAACTCAGTTAAGAATGAGGGTAAAATGCAGACAAGTTAAGAGGGCAAGGAAAGGAAAACGGGAAGATGTTGCTGGGACTCGAGGAGCATACTCACAGGAGAGTGATCAGCAAAGCTAATTTAATGAATATGTGCTTTAAAACTTGAGTATGTTGCTAGTCCTGAAATGGTTTGGAATTGTATTTGATGCACAGATGAAATGTCACCACGTGAATAATTCTTTGTAAATATGGCTGTCAACCAAAACAGTATAATTCAAACACAATTTATTTTTAATTTCTCAAACAAAAATCAACACTTTAAGTCAGTGATTGGTGAGCTACAGTCTACAGGCTAAATCCAGCCCTTCACCTGTTTGTATAAATAGTCCTATTGGATCACAGCCATGCTCGTTTGGGTGCATACCGTCTGTGGCTGCTTTTGCACTTCAACAGCAGAGTTGAGTAGTTGTGACAGAGGCCTCATGGCCTGCAAAGCCTAAAATATTTACTACGTGGCCCTTCACAAAAGGTTTGCTTACCCCTGATTGAAGCGATCATGGTTGGATTAAAGGACAGGGTGACATCTGACAAAGTATCAGTAAGAATGGGGACAGTGACCCATCCAAATAGTAAGGTTTCCCCAGATAGGAAGATCAAGAAGTGTACATTTGACATAATTTCTTCAACAAAGTTGTAATATAAATTATAGTTATTTAAAATACACATTGAAATAATTTAACAAGAACTTTTTCTCCCTGATTCAGTCACTTTATTATTTGAGCAAGAGAACAGATTGCTTCTTAGTATTTAGCCCCAAAGAAGTCACACCTGAAAGGGTGAAGAAGAACAGTGTGATCATCTCTCATCTGCTGGTGCTTGAAGCAATACGGGAGTTGCTGTCTGTCTTCCAAATGTCCATCTCCTCATTGCAGCAACTGTGACTTGCTGTAGCCATGTGAGACAAGCTGGGACGCAATGAACTCTTCCCAATCATTCTGCTCCTAGGCTCCATGATTGTTCTGTTTCTTTCTGGGGAAGGCTTGTTATTGTTTGTTTGTTTTTTTCTGAGAAATAGTGATTGGCTCAGTCATGATTGCTATCGAGTTTGTATGCTGTTGGCATATCAGGCACTTGCTGACTAGAAAAGTTTTATGTAATAAGTTCATATTCTTACGGTGCCAGATGGAAGACAGACCTCCAAGTTGAGTTCCCGCTATTCTACACGCTCAGAATCTCAAAATCTTCCTCCAGGTCAAACTCCTCCAGTTGTTCAGTAGAGTCAATGAATTCTACCAGAATACAGAAATTAGAAAGAAAACCTTTGACACTTGTGTTAAAGTGGTCAATCAATACATTACTCAGTGGTTAAGACTATGCATTTTTAAATTACTTTGCTAAGGAAAGGCTTGTCTGGAGGAGACTTACAATTAGCACCACTACCAAGTGTTACAAACTGTCTATAAAGACTTAAAAATAACTGGATTTGTTACATAGGGCTAATCACAGTGATGTGGCCGAGGCTCTGCAAGTCCTTTGAGGTACCTTTTAAATCACCCATGGCCTCTGACTTGTTACTCTGAACCACACCATGAAAAAACAATTCTAGTCATATTGATTTTGCATAGAACTTTTATAACGAGCTCATTTTCTTTTTTTAAAAAATTGGTAATATCAGTTCATCAAGAGATTAAAATAATCAGAAGCAGCATTCCTTGATCAGTCCAGCTGTGCAAAAAGTTTACTTTCCACAGAACGCATAAGCCACAATTGCTTCTGTCTCAAAAAATAATTGCTACATGTGGGTCTGCAGGCCGAAAGCCCCTGAACAACAGCTCACCTGCCCCAGTGGTTGTCACTTCTGGTTTGGCTGGAGGCACAAAGGGAGGCCAGTGTGATGGATGTTTCTGGACTAATTCAAACATCCTTAAATTCTCCTTTAGAATTTCCTGGAGAGACACAAAAACAGTTGTAAACACTGCAGAGTCACTACGTTTCTATCCAATTGGCAATCTATGACCCCAATCCCTAAGAGAGTGGCATGGTGGTTGACAGACCTAACAAACACACCCATCCTGTACTTGAACCATCTGAAGCCCCAGCCATCTTCAGTTTGAGACACTGGAGGCAGTATCAATGGAGGCCAGTACTCATTGCCCATACTCGGTCATTGCCCATACTCCATCACCAGGCTCAGTCCCTGTGCCAGTTGCACAGGCTCAGCTCAACTTACGGCTGAGATGTTCCTGAAGAATTAGTTCCCAAACAAATGCCAGCTAATCAAATTAAATCTGCTTCAGGAGGATATTGGCACATATTGGCATGGTTTCAGTTGTAGTCCAACATTTATGGTATATGTCCTGATTTAAATGACATAGTCTTATCAGAAAATTCTCATTCTACCTTTAAATGTGATATAAATACAGTTTTGCTGCATTCTGAAATGTAAATATTGCCTTTAGAAAATAATTCTCTACTATGCCTTAGCGAATTATTAACTGGGGTTTTGGATTTCAGTTAGGGACATTAGTGTGAATTATTTGTTCACTTGTGAAGAAAAATAATATATTTTTCTTCTCTCATATTTACAAAGGCTTTGGGCTCCCATCTCTCCAATCCTTTTGTCCTGCAGATAGAAGAACATCATGTCTCCTGCCACTCCATCCAGGGCTCTTAAAACTCCCTATGATCTCCCTTCATTCCTTCAATAAGCATTTATCACTGTCTTCCATATACTTGGTGTGTGTTAGAGGCTGAGGATGAGGGAGGCAGACACAGAGATTGGTGAGCCAGTGAAATTATTCCCTTTTACATGAGACACCAAAAAGAAAGAGTCATTCTATACAGATTTCTGCAAAATTTAAGTGGTAGCATGCCTATATTTTACATAAACAAGCCAGTTAAGAGAAGGGCAAGCCCTCTAAACCATGGTGGAATATATTAAACTGTAAATGGACCACTAAGCAAATAGAAAAGTACTTTAGTTTCTTTAGCTATCTCAGTCTTATGAACAGAGTAAGGAAGAATTTAGGCTAAGCAATATGAAATTGGCATTTTTAGGTTAAAATGGCAGAGTATTAGCTGAATATTACCTATGACTCATAGGCTTAATGAGATGAAACTTTAAGTTTCATCACTAAGAATATCACTCACTTGACATACTAAGCACATTTCAAACCAAAGTTTTTCTTCAGTTCCCCCAAAGTTATGTACACTTCCCCACATCTGGTAGTTTCTCTGTTGCCTTAGTTTCTTTCTCTTGCAATACAGTCATATCGGACTAGGTTTACAATACTATGAACAACAATCTTGAAAAGGAATCATATTGAGTAACTTTCATTTTTTAAGACAAAGAACATACAATTTTACCTTCTGAACAAGGCTACACCAGTTATCAAAGTCTTTTTCTTCTTTGCAGAAAAATCCCTTGAGGGGAAGCAAAAGAACACAATTGAGAATTGCCCTTTGTACTGCAAGAGGGAGCTGTTGGCCCGCAGTTATGAAGTGGGCCACTGTCTTTGGATGTGTCTTTCCAGCAATAAAAGAGGGAGACTGGCTAAGCTTCTCTCTCTCCTGGCTGGTTGCTCACTTGGACATACACATCTGCACTCTCTCACCTGCTGGCTCTCTCACTCACTCTCCCACTATCTTGCTGTCTCTCTGCCTCTTGCTCTCTGTCCCTTTCCCTTTTTTCCTGCCCCTTTCCCTCCCTGTCCCTATTCCTTGAGACTGTGAGATATTTTAATGTGAAGACCAGTGTCCAAAGCATGGGATTAATTCTATCACATTCAGTGCACAAATATACACATGGATAAAGAATATTCAATTAAACCAGCAAACAAAAACCAAATAGTAATTTTAGCTAGAGGGAATACTTAATAAGGTGGCTTTGACCTTCAAGGAATTATCTATTAGAATAGAGAGAACCCTTAGTCTCCTTCCCTGTCCTCAGAGCCATCCTACAGTAGGGAAAGAAAGGTCCAAAACAAGAGGAGGGCTCTGCGGTCACTAGTACCCTGACAGCTGGATTAAATAAGAGAGGATGCAGACAGGCCTCAGAACCACTGGTTGCTTCACAGGCAGATGCCCCTTCAATGTGTGGAGACAGCAATCATACTTCTGGGGGGAAAAACCTGCATCTTCCAAGATTGTATGCACCAAGAAATGGGCACTGTCCATCCAAGGGGTCTTGCCTCCTTATCCCTCCCTAGCTGTGTCTCACCTTATTCCTTGTGCCTGTGTGGCAATAATTTGAGGACAATGAGGAAAAAGGGGAGAGATGATAATACTAATAATAACTAACATTTATGGAACACTTAG